TTAGCTTTTCTGTTCATTCCTCGCTGTGTTGCAGATATTTTTTGTGAAGAATTTGCCCCTGCAGGTTCTACATCTAGCTGGATTTTGCAGACTTGTGACATGCAATTGAGGAGCAGTATGCAAGTGAAGAGTAATTTGACCATTTTGTAGTGAAATTATTATGTAGTGATTTGATTCTACTGTTTTGTTGAAGGAGGTTCAGAGGCTGATAATGTAGTAATTTCACAGGAGACAACGCATAAGCAAAAAAAAATAAGTTAGCAGGTAGAGGGGGGGGCTTTTTAATGTTTACAAAACAGATGTCCGTCATCTCAACCGCACAGATCATTGAATTAGCATTCACAGGTGACTGAAAGCAAACACCTCATTAATGCATTTGAAATGTTTTGTCAGAGCTTTGAGTTTCTGACTGTATTTCTGTACTGAGCTCTTCATAGCTCACAGAAATTACCTGATTACTGTTGAGGGTCAGGATGAAGCCCTGCTTTAAGCCACTAGGTGGTGCCAGAGGACAGAATAAGAAAAACAATCTTTCATCATCCCCCTCAACCCTGTACACAGGATAAGTGGATCAGGGTATCTAGGGGGAATCATGAGGAAATGTAGACAGACAAGCTTGCTAAGTTTGTCACTGAAGACTGCTGTCCCTTTCAGCTGTCTTAAAGACCCCTTCTGGAGTTCTGGATATGTCGAGTCTTTTAAAAAAAAAAAAAAAAGAGCTGGTCCCCATTTATTTATTTATTTATTTTGTTTTGTGCAAAACACGCATGAGCATGCAGGTGATGAGTCCAGTCCAGCCAATGTTTTCACACTATTCCATACAGCCAATGGGTGGCAGTAATGCACCAAGAGAGGCAGAAAAGGAGAGCGCAAATAAGTAAACATTGATGTACACAATGCAGTATTGTAACTTTTGGCAAAAAAATTGGCATTGCAGATGTTTTACGGGGAAGGAAATGCACAACACATGTTCAAGACTTCAAGAATACACACAATGTGTTTTGGTAAGTAACACATGAACATGAATATAACTTATTTATCTACAAAAAAACTCTTCGGAGTACGTTTAAAGTGCTTCCTTGTAAACAAACTAGTCACGTTTACATTCAGCTTTTTTCTTACCAAAACACACTGTGCCATACCCAAAGTCTAACAACCGCGTTGGAACCCATTTCTTTCCTCCCAAAACAACTTTTAAGCTGACTGAATATGATTGAATTACAACCACCAACCAAAATACTGCATGATTTACAATATTTACCAATTGACAATAATCATGAAACCAGCGACAGTGGTGTGTATTGCAAACTTGCATCCTCATGCACATTACAAACAACCATTACTCCACAGGGTACCATTTTAAGCATAAGCATTTTCTCAGTGTTTATATCTGTAATATGCACATACATTATATTCCCAGATAAATGCTCTGGAGTTGGAGTCCGAGACGACAAAAAAACCTTGTATGTTACTGTAGGGAAAAGTAAAAGGTGATTTTGTATTGTAGAGGACAAGACAGAGCCGAGCCCATATGAGGCAGATTTGAAAGCATTTATATTTATTTTATAGCGGCATCATTTCAGATGTAGGATCTGTTTTTTTTTTTTTTGTAAGCTCACAAAAAAAAGACAAAGGCAAAGCACACAGGGCTGTCCTGCGCACATCAACATATTCAAATGAACACTGCATTTGATCATTTGAAACATAATGAAAAATCCAAACATTATTAAATAAGGTTTATGACAAATTACATGAGCCAGTAAAGGGGAGAGCAAACAAATACACACTAAAAACAAAATTAAAGAGACTAAAACAACAGAATAGCTGTCACAAATTGTTGATCTGAGGGTGCTGCTCTGATGTCCAGATGAACTGTGGACATTAATAATGCGCATGTACGGCCAAAGTCCTCAAACACAATGATTGTTGTTATTGTTTTGGTCTATGGGTGTCATACAGTATATTACAAGCTGCATTCTCATACCTTCACTTCCTTCATCTCATAGCTCCTGATCTTCACCTACAGCTGTTGGCAGAGAGCCAAGATTATGATCATCAGCAGCCACACAGAGGTCTTTGAGTTTCTCCCCAGCACGCTTTCCAGACTACATGAACATGCTTTATTAGAATATCAAAAAATATTGAGGGATTTTATCTCTGACTGGCTGGGATGGTAAACATGAGCCTGCTATGTGCAGTTTAGTAACGACACCTAATAGGATTTCTGGATTTAAGACAATTTGGAGCTGCAGATGGAGAAAATTGCCTTCTGCAGCTTTATCTGATTTGACTATGTGCTTTTTCTCATACTCAAAACCTAAAATCATATAAGGACTCTTAACAGGACCAAATGTTTGTCCTTGGGCAGAGAAACTCGAGGCCTCTGGGAGCAGAAGGATAGAATGTGAGTCCATTTCAGTCTGATGAGAGACCTCGACCTAGAAGTGGCTGGAAAAGGTGCGGATCCTGCTGAGGGTTTTGGGGCCAGGACTCAGATCTGGCTAAGCGGCAGGAACTTCTGGTAGTAACTCTTGGTCACGTCAATCATCAGGTCCTGGGTGCACTCTGGGAGCTCTCCTGAAAACAGACCTGAGACAGCGAAAGACGAACAGAAGGTAAAGACGTGGACGATAGCTAGAAAGTGGAGGGGGTGGGGTGTGTGCTGGTGTGGTGTGGTGTGGTGTGGTGTGGCGTGGCGGACCTGGGCACCCAGAGAAGACAGTAAAAGGCGGCACCACGGTCTCAGGAGGGAGCACAGTGTTGTCTAAGATCTTGCAGCAGTCCTTCAGCACACAGCGACGACCCTTTACACGACACACAAAACAAAAGTCAAAAGCAAGTTAACAGCTACTGAGTAAAATGCCTAAACTGACACCAAGTGTTACATCTATTCTGCTTATTACTCTATTGTAAACAATGCATTTTGGCTGTTCAGAACAATATATCTGTAATCATTCTTACAAAGTAAAAGATTTGTTTTACTTTTATATACCAAACAATGAACCAGTACAATCAATCAATATCTTGTTTTATATGGAAAATAACAATCCAGTTTAGCCATTCTAGAAACTAAAATTAACACACATGGTTCTGCACATTCCATCCCAGTGCTCAAAGCAGCCGGCCAGCAGTTCCTCTGAACATGACCGCCATGTGACCGTTACACCACAGGCAAGAGGAGACACTGTTTCTGTTTGTGTCCTCTCTCTCACTGGGGGCAGAGCGCTCTCTCTCTTTCTGCATGGTTTTCCTTTTTCTGTTGCATAGCATGGTTGTGTGTGCATGTGCTTTCACACCACTCACTATGACGCAGTTCTTCCCAATGTGGACGTAGGAACCAATCTGTGCTGCGTTGACCACGCAGTCCTCCTCAATGAAGACGTGATCCCCGATGTGCAGCGGGAAGAACGCCACTCTAGAGGGGGAGACAGTGGGTGGTGAAGTTCAGGTGTTTCTTTGATGAGCATACAGCAACCAGAAATAACAGACAGCCAGGTATTAAGACTATTTACTGTATGGTTCTCTGCTGTGTACTCATGGAAACAATAAACTGACTGACAGAAGATTTATCTGCTTTGATTTTGAGAATGGAATGTTTCAGTAATGTCTCAAGTCAAAATGCCAAACTTTGCTGGCTGCAGCTTCTCTGTGAGGATATTCTTCTTGGTCTTATGTGATAGTTTTTGTGAATTTTTGTTTGGACCAAAAAAACCATCTGAATTTGTCACTTTTGTCTCTGGGACATTGTAAATTGATTAAGAGCAATTGTGTGATGTATTGATATGGTATTGGCATTGAGATTTGGTTACTGGAATATTGTCATCATTTGGAAGTCTCTTACTGATCTAAAAGGCTATAAGAATAAATGCCCCTGGCTGGCTGTCCATTTATATCCATGTTATTAATATATATATATATATAATATAATATATATTAAAAAGGATGCTTTACCCTTTGCTGAACTTTTTAAAAGGTGGTCTAATGACGCTCCGGCTCTTTACCACACAGTGTCTGCCCACCCTGACATTAGCCAGGTCGCCTCTGATTATGCAGTCATTCATGACAATAGTCTGCAGGAGAGAACACATAACATAACTTCCCTGACAGAAAGCTGTATAAATAATACACCATCAGGCAGGTGTATTTGTCCTTACTTTGCCATTGAGTACGATGTTTTGACTCCCACATAGCACTGACTGTCTGCTGACTTTGTTGCCAGAAGCCTGAAATAAAATAGCAGAATGGTTACCGCTTGTATCGAAGTGTGTTTTAGTCTTCACTGTCCATATAAACTGAGCACAAACAATAATTTGTCCAACGCCCAACGCCCCGCTCAGCTTGTTAGCCAAATAGCAAGTGACTAAGTTAGCTAGCTAACAACGACTTGAAATAAAACATATTACCGTCTCGATGTACTCCGCTTTGTTGTACAGTATTTCAGACAACTCCATGGCTGGGAATTTGGTAAAATATTTCAGACCGTGGGATTAATTCAGTAATCTAACGCATCTAACGTGATGTGTTTTGCTCCCTGCTCTGCTGTCAGCTCTCTCGGCTTCTCTTCTTCGGCCGATTCTGATGAATGGCTTTTCAGACAAAATGAGTTGAGTTGATCATCGATTGAATTTGTTAAACCAATCAAACAGTCCCCCCAGGAATTTGTTATATTTGATTTGTATTGTGTAAGATGTATACATCTATATAGCGTGTTAAATAATTCTGCTCCTCCAGGTCATTTGGCTAGGTAATTATTAAGCATCTAATCCGTAATATGACTCTGTGATCGATTGGTCTTCCCTCAGCAGAATAAGCTCCGCGACACTTTGGTATTTTACCTTTTATCAAAGTCATTGGTTATAATAATGCTTTTACTTATTGTCTGTTTAGTAAACAATATTGCAGAGAGCTCAAATAAAATAAAATATACTGAATAAAAACACAGCTTGTATTCTGCGCATGCGCACGGCAGAGCCCATGACCCTGCTTCTTCTTCGCCTTGCACACAGGAAGCCACCACTCACTTTTCTCCGTCATGGCGGCCCGTGTCCTGCAGCAGTGTGTCCGCTCGCTCGTCCGGCCCTCGCTGAGGCTTTCCTCCGGTAACCTGGCAGTCAGAGCCGCTGCCGCTCCGGTGGCAGTCGTCCACCGACCTCTCTCCTTCGCCGCCGACAGCCGAAGGACGCGGTGGCTCGGACAGAGCCGGGTGAGTCTCCGGTAACATTGAACCGCCATGGCCTAGCGTTCGCTGCTGTGACCTACCGACGTCTTTCAAAACTGTCATGCTAACTTAGCTTGCTAAAAGTTCACGATGGCATGCAAAGTTCATATTTTACCACCAGTGAAAACCTGTCGGTGTGATACCCCTCCTGAAATCCACGAAAGCTTGGGACGTTTTATTTGTGATTACACTGCAGCCATGTTTTGCTTGCTGGCTAGCTTGGCTAGCTTAGCTAGCTAGCAAAGTTGGTGAGTTCACTGACACACTTGTGTTGTCGCCTCTCTCACGCCTGCAGTCTAGAGCCATATGGATGCCTGAACTCAAGCTAAGCACCCTGTATAACCTATTCTAGCTAGGCGACGGCCAACGATGCTTTGCCAGATAAGCGTGCTGTTCAGAATAGTAAAACACTGCTGCAGTGAAGTAGTTTTTGTGAATTGTATGATGTTAGTTTAATGACCGTTTTTGGAGATAACTTATTTAATGGTACTGTAATGCAGGGGGAGGTCGCCCATGATGTCAAGTGATTCTGCGTTATGAAAGACCTAAAGTCAGCTAAAACATTTAGAAACAAGTTGTATTTATATAGCATATTTTATTAAGTTGAAACATAACAATAGAGGAAAGACTACAAGGAAATAAAAACATCAGCCCCAAGAGTAATAAACTCCACATCCAGCCTAGAGGCAAGTAGTTTGTTTGACAGAGTAAGACCAAAATAACAAAAAGCACCCTTGTTAGATTTTGATCTTATGCTTCAGTACAGTAAGAAAATCAGCACTTGATAATCTCAGAAATGAAGATTAGACTTCATCATTGAGCAGGTCAGAAATGTATGAGCCGTACCAGATACCTGCTTTAAAGACTATATGTAGAGTTTTGGAGTTGGTTTTGTGTTGCACTAGGAGCTAAGAAAGTGATGCAAGTACTGGAGTAATGTGTTCAGCTTTGTTTGTATATGCAAGGAATAAAATTAAACATTTAAAAAAAGTGTAAATCGTTATGCAAAATTTAGATTCTGTACATTTAATATCAACAGTGAATGCTGGTGTTAAGTTTTTTGAACAAATTGATATGTTGCTACGGTGATTAAGGTCAAGTTCAATGTGCTTTATTGGCATGAATGTTTCAGTTAAACAGTGTTGCCAAAGCAGTGATTACTTGTCAGTCCGGTGTGCTTGAAACCATCCTCTTCCAGACTCTCCTGAATCAGTGTAACAGTATCGTGCTCAACATGCACGCTTGAGCTACAGCCTGTTAACAGTTTGTGCTCGTAACATTTTGACCCAAAGATGGGAAGTGAGTATAAATGGGTTCCAGCAAAATCATGGTCTGGAGTGTTTCGCTGAATGAACGCCTCTGTGCATTTCTATGATCTCTCCACCTCATCATCCCCGCTCCTGACCCTCCACCTCCTCTTCTTCCTTTTCCACCACAGGTCCCCTCAGTGGGCGTGTTGTGCCGACAGTATGGAGACCTGCCTCCTCTCACCCTAGACACCATCAGAGACCGCGTCATGTATGTCCTCAAGCTCTATGACAAGATCAACCCTGAGAGGGTGAGAGCGAGCTCCAGCCAGTTTGGAAACTGGCAGTGAATGAAGGATGCATTGTGTCTGTTACTTAACAGGTTGAAAAATATGTGTAGAAAGAACTTATTTTGCAGATGATATTCTTCTACAGACACTTTTGTTTAGCCTGCAGTTTGTCAGACACCATGTTAATGTGCGCGCACACTCCACTTTGTGAACCTGCCTCAACAGTGATTTGATCCTTTCATGGGATTTTCTTTGGTTAATGTGAGAGGCTGATGAAGGAAAGGCTTGTTTTACTCTGTGCTGTAGGAAAGTAATCCCGCTAAATGAGATGTAGTAATTGTGTGAATACTTAACAGTAGTTTGTTTGGAATATCCATTATTCATATTTAGATCGTGTCTGTTCAGAACCAAACTGTGTGTTGCCAGAAAACTGAAATGCCAGTGATTGTGCAAAATGTTACTTTCTGCTCCACAGCTGCAGACATCATCCCACTTCATGAAAGACCTGGGTCTGGACAGCTTGGACCAGGTGGAGATCATTATGGCCATGGAGGATGAGTTTGGTGAGTGTCTGTCGCTGCTAGCCTGTCAGGGGTGCACGCCATACAACATAACCTTACAAATACATAAATATTACAAATTGAGTGTGTATCCATCAGGCCAGCAAAGAAGTATTCCTCATTTCCACTGCATGCTACAGCTCGGCTGGACTCGCTTTTTTGTTTCTTCACTGTCAAAAGTACCTACCTGGTACTCTTTTTGGTATCCAGGCAAGTTGAGCTGATACTAAAAGAAACAGTCGTTACTTACATGACCCAGGACATCCTGCACAAACTCACCATTTTTAAATAGCCAAGCTACCAATTTTAATAGCAATTTTTTTTTTGTTTGTGTTTGTTTTACTCACTCGACACTGGTGGGATGAGAGTGGTCACTTAGTTTGTTTGTCTGTGTGTTGTTCTTCAGAGTAGAAACACAGACTACTTTATCGTTAGAGCTGGCCCGATGGCTGTGGTCTCTGGGATGCAACTTTGTGCAGAAAATGAGAGTGGTTGTTAACAGGATCTTGTCGTGTGTGTGTGTGTGTGTGTGTGTGTGTGTGTGTGTGTGTGTGTGTGTGTGTGTGTGTGTGTGTGTGTGTGTGTGTGTGTGTGTGTGTGTGTGTGTGTGTGTGTGTTTCCTCTGCAGGCTTCGAGATCCCCGACGCAGAAGCGGAGAAGCTGATGAGTCCTGAGGAGATTGTACAGTACATCGCAGACAAGAAGGATGTTTATGAATAATCTGTTCTATAGAGGCAAGTCAGCCATGTTTTCTTTCCCTCCTTCACTATGGCTGTATGTGGAACCACCTACCCCATACTAGCAGCAACCGCAGTATGTACTACATACTGCTAATCATATTAGTATGCAGTATGCTCGGCCACGCTTAGCTGGAAGTAAACAATAGAAGGAAAAATTTTTTTTTTTCTAATTTAATCTTGTGTAAGGAGAACCAGGCTACAGCTGATCTGTAACGAGTATAACATTATAGCTAGCTGCGTTTGTCCCACTCTCCATAACACTTAAGTTAAGCCTGCCAAGCTAATGTTGGATATCACAAAGAGAGAGCAGTGTTAACCTTAGCAAGCTGTCAATAACAAAACAGGACATTCAAAGTAGGGTAGTAATATTCCTTCTTGTCCACCACTGACACGGGGATGTTTCCGTTCGCCGTTTCAACAATGACTGCTTGTTATTAAATAAAGATTACATTAAAAAAAAAACATTCTTGCACTTCGTGTGACACAGTACGTGAGGTAGACTGGACCGACGCATATGGGAGATTCTTTCTGAATCAGTATGACATCCGGGTATACTGCGTTCTACGTTCTGGCCAAATCCGTACGTACTGCTAGTATAGTAGCTGGTTTTAAATACAGCGTATCTCTGTCCCTCCATTTGCATTCTGGTCTTGGCTCATTTTTTCTTGTGTATTCACTCATCAATAGTGTATGTTTCTTGCAGAGAGGTTGACCCCAGCGCAACCCCACAGGAAGTGCTTGTGAAGCAGATGGGCACCAAACCATTTCCCACTTCCTCCCCGTCAGATGTTCTGTGCATTGCAGCATTGTTGGCTGCTGTGTCTTGTGTTTAACTGTATTTAAATGAACATCGGAGATAAACATTAAATCAGTTTTTTTTTTTCAGCTACACCCCGTGGTTCAAATGTATAAGTTGTCATGACTAGATCAATAAAGAAAGACACATGCTGTACAGTTCTGTGCATATCTGTGAAACTCATGACCGGAGGAGAATAAACCGTTGTAGTGTTCAAAATAAATACTGTGGCTCACATGTCAGAACAGAGTTTAACCAAGCGTGTTTCAGTCAGAGGGCCACAAAATCTGCCCAATCCAAGAGAATTTAGTTTTGTAGATGGACTGTAACCGTGTTCTTTTAGCTTGAAATAATCCCATACTTTAGACATTTCTTGTTCATCCCTTACAGTTTTCGCTCTTCCTCCACTTTGCATACAGCGCCATCATAATCATGTTGCGTTCACACAGCGTAAGTGCGATGTGATGGAAATGTCCGTGTGAAACACTGCTATAGTTATATGGATTAAACAAGCTGCGATGCAAAGAATTTGCGTCAATGCATTTTAGACTAATCGGATAGTTTCAGCCCTGTGTTCGACTAGTTTAGTATTTAAATTACTCCCAATTCACTGAAGTTTTTTTTTTTTTTTTATTAACCAGGTGATTTACTGTCAAGCATATGCAGTATGTGTGCACACCAAAATAAAACTGAATACAGTTTTCACATTGTAAATCATTTAATTCAAAGTAACACTACATTTTGGTTCAAAGGGAGATTCAGCCTCAAACCCTTCTATTGCAGATAGCTCAGATAATCAAGGGAAATCTTGTACATACAGCTGTCGCTACTACTTTTCAGATTATTTACCTTTCATGTCAAATCTTAAACTTGTGAAATACAATACACTGGTTTGTCACCAGGGAACTGCCTTCACCTAGCTTTAACAGAAGAATATCCATCCTAAAATGTAGCAGAGTGAATTCTTCTCACTTTAAATATCCAAATTAAAAGGATGTAAGTGGTCACAGTTGTTGACCAAGAAACAGACAGGGAGAAAGAACGACTCCAGGAGGCAATCACTGAGTCATTGTTAGTCTTTTATTGAGGGTTGTACCCAAGTTTTACAGCTTTGTATGAAGGCTGTGGGAGCCAGAGGGTTACAAACAGTAATCAGTATACGAGTACAACCAACAGAAGACCTACTACCTACTACTCTACAACCTTAGTACAGATTCTCTTAAGAGCACTAAAATCCGGAAAAATAAGGAGAAAAAAAAAAATACAGAACAAACCAAGCAACAAAAGGAAGGAAAATAAAAAGATTAAATGAAACCAAACAAATAGACAGCATCAGAGGAGACATTCATTATTAGAGCACACTGGAGTTGGTTTTCTATACCTTGTATGATCAGGCGACTTAGTTTTTTTAATCAATTTTTAATACCCATACAAATAAAGATTGTCCTTCAAAAAGTGCAGTTTCCCCCCAAAGTTTAAGATAAAATCCTTTGATGACCCGAGGAAGACGTTTGAAAATAAAAAGGTACTTCCTGTTTTTGTAAGAGAGGAAGACATCCTCTCGTTGATTATAGACATTGTACGTTTATATTCTCATATATATATATTATATATAGTTTCAACAGTCTCCCAAAGCAATGTGCATAATAGGTTTACAGGTGATCCAACTACACACTGTGGATTGATAGAATCTCTATAAAAAAACATTGTAGTTGTGTAAAATTTGCAGTTTCACCGGCCTCACTTCCCTCGGCGTGTCGAGGAGGTGACAAGCTGTGAAAATAAAGAAATGGACTTTGCAAATCTTAACCTGTCCTCCTCTCCTGCTACAACTGGCCCGACGGTTGCTAGGTAATAAGGTTTTTTTCAGTTCATTATTATTATTATTATTATTAGAAGTAGTAGTACTAGTAGTACGATTCAACGATGGCACAACATGTTTTGAGGAATATTATTGGGAATCCCGTCTCAGCTGTGTTTTTAAAACATTTTTGGGATTTTTTATTTATTTATAGAAAGCAAAAAACCCAAGGTGGACATGGAAGCCTGGGTTCAACACTCCACTGCATAGTCTCTCTGAGCGACACCCACCCAACCCCTCTGTACGGTTCCCACCCACCCCCCACCCCGATAGCCCGCCCGCCCCACCCACCCACATCTTTGTGCTGGTTAGACTAAAGCTTTTCAGGGTTTGTTTTTGTGTATTCATACTAAATGTAAAATGACAAAAAAACAGCAGATTCTCACAGTTTTTGTGTTTGTTTTTTTAAACTTTTGTTTGTTTTTTGTGGTTTTTATAGTTTTTGTGTCAAAAAAAAAAAAAAAGCCTTTGCGCTTTTGATCGACAGTAGGAGCCGTTTGTGTGTTATGATATAATATAGCATTTGCTCACAGGATAGTTAAGTCAAGAGAAAAACAAAGAGTCACATTATTTTTCTTAAACATTAAAACGTAGTAGAGTATCACCAGCCAGCTTCCCTCCTCTCCTACCCTCTTTCCTTCCTTCCTTCTTTCCTCCCCTCGACTGGCCCTGTCGGGAAGCTGCTTGGCAGCCCTGGGGATTGTACATTGCTCATGGTGGTTTTGACTTACTGAAAATGTTTTCCTCACATCATCTTTTTGCAAATTACATTTTTTCTTCAAGCATTTAACATTGTCCAGCTTTTTAAATACACATACACAAAAAAAATAAAATCAATCCCTTTCCTTCCCTCTCACCCTCCCCTCCTTAATTTGGCATGATAATGTGTTCAAATACAAACACACTGTACGAGACTGGGTTTTTGCATCTTCCCACAACACACACAGACACACACAGACATACTAACAGTAGATTGGACGAGATAGAAACAGAACTAGAATAAGCTGAGACCCAGAACAGTAACATTAACATCAATGAGAGGAGTTTTACAGACGTTGCTTGTCCCTTCTCTAACAGCAGAGCAATGCTGCCTCCTGCGCTGCTGATCAGGGGTCAGCTTTTGTCCCACCAAGGGGGGACAAAACTGCTCCCAGGTCAGCGCTAGGAGAGAAGCATCGACAAAATTAGAATGAACGAAGTGTAAAATAATTTCAGCAAAAGCGTAAAGGGAATACTATTTTGACTAGACTATTTAGAGTTCACTTGCCCCAGACCTCCTGTCAGTTTTGCGTTTCCTCTCCTGTAGTTAAGCTTAGGAGTTGGAGAGGGGGAGCTGATCCTGGATAAGCCGGCAAAGAGGCAAGTGGAACTCCGTGTCCCTGAAAAGCCAGGAAGAGCCAGCCAATCACAAGCCACATCCCCTTGCCTGAGTCACTACGGGGCCAACAACAAGCCTCGCCTCCTTTCAGTCAAGCTACAGACACGAGCATCTCCACCGCAACAGCCACCGACAACCGGGCGCATTTAAAACAGTAGTTGAATTTGAAATCAAACACAAAGACAATGAGCAGCGGTTGCTTTGCTTGATTTTTCCTTGCGGTGGTTCCATGTTTGAGGCAGATCGAGGCACCGGCCGTCGTTTTTTTTTACTTTTTAAACCGTTTTCAGCTACATTCTGGCTCAGTTCGGCGGCTTGGCGACTTCACCGCTCTGACCGGCCAGCCCAGTGAACAGGGAGAGGTAAACCTGGAGGACGACGACAAACCCCCGCCCCTTCTCTCACTCCCTCACTGGCACCAACAAAGCACCATCTTCTCTAGTCACAGCACACACACACACACACACACACACATACCCCTGTCACAATACTCACACAAACGCACTTTCTCCTTTAGACAGACCTGAAAACCAAACACTGCCACCGTTAACTGTGTGTCTGACTGTCCGTCACGGCTTTGCTCTCTGCTCGTTCGGCCTTTCCTCTAATCCACCCAAGTGCAAAATCCAAGGCTCCTCAGTTCAATTTGTCAATTTAAGTTAACTCAAAAACAAATGACAAACATGGTTCAGATGTTCCACTTGAAAACATTTGTTAAACAAGACAAAAATCAAATAATATATATATAGTTTAAGCAAAGATCTGGAATTAAGTAAACTAATCTTTTTTAATTATTTGGTAGAAAGCAGTTCAATACTGGCACACACCACTGTCAAGTCTGGCTAATACTCAAGGTTCTGTCTCGCTACGTATGCTTTGAAGTGTTAAATATTCACGGCTAAACTTAAAAACACAACTAAAGCCAACATTTAGAGTACTTCTGAAATAAAAACCTATATTGGAGGGGGAAAACACATGCGCGCGCACACACACACACACACACACACACCCCACAGGCTTAACAGAGTAATTACACGGTGATGAAAAGAAATTAAGGTCCATGGCTTCGCTAATGCTGACTTCTCGTTCACACACTTTCTGAAGCGTTTGTTTTTCCCCGGATATTGTGCATCGTAGTAACTAAACAATCACTGGTAGATGGGTGCATCTATTATTCACATGTGGATTTTTGTCGACAAACACCACTGGTGGATTTACATTCACGCTGTTCTCACACACAAACGACGCCCTTCCCTCCCACAATCAAACACCTTCCCCTCCAGCGCTAGAATGCACAACTGCCGGCATCCTAATACACACACACACACACGATTCATCAGGTCAAGAACTTTAGATGAGTCCCCCCCACCCCACCCCCGCCCAAAGGAAAAAGAAACAGTACAACAATACAATCATATTCTATTTGTAAACAGGTAGAAGCCACTTGACTTGTTGTTGCATCTTCGGACACAATTAGGATCAAGGCAATGAAATGTGGACGACTTTTGCACTGTTAAAATAGTATCTTCAATCAAAACAAGATTTTTTTTTAAAGTTTCTCTTTCCTTTTTTCAAAACACCATCTGTGGCAATGAGAGTGATTAAAAAACAAGAAAAAAAGCAAGTAATATTTCGCATTTTTTTGTACTTAATGAAACACTTAACATTTTGAGTCATGGGAAAAAAAAATAAAAATAAAAAAAAAAAACACCTCTCGGTAGGCCGTGTGAGAGGCTACAGTATGCATAGATACAGATTCGCCTTTCTCTTGGTTTATAAGTCTGACAAGACAGAACATTTTCCACTGACAGTCACACACACACACACACACACACACTCCCCCCCACTTTTGATTTTTACATCAGTGGAGTGGAGGACTGGAGGAGAGGAGGAAGAGGAGGAGAGAGGGAGCGTAGGGGTTTCTACAGCCCGTCCTCCACCCCCTCATGTTAGGGCCCCCCCCCCTCCCACCTCAAAAGACAGCATATTGAAAGCAGTGTGTTGAGCTTCTCCAGCTTAAAGCAGTTATTTGGCAGAGAAAAAAAAAACAACTGACAGACCTATACATAGTTTTCAGTGCTAGAAGTTGGATTATCCTTTCCTACAAGGAGTAGTAGTTTTTTTAATTCACCTACAAGGGGGGAAAACTGGCTTGATTTCCTGAGAACCATTGCTGGTTATTTAGCAGACAAAGAGGAATAGTTCAAATAACCAACGCCATGGCCAAAAACACTGATCCGAATTCCCAGAGTTACAAAGCATCGTCTTCATCCTCAATAAGAGTTTGATTTTTTCTTGTTTTTCTATTTGTTTTATACATTTTTTAAAGTAATTTTTTATTCTTTTTTAATTTTTTTGTGCATTTTCTATTTTATTCCATCTTCTCTTTAAAATGAAGAATGAACACACGTTCCGCCTCCTAAGTCTTGTAAACAAGAGGTTACAGTGTGGCACCTCCAAAACATTGAAAGCCTATTCTGAAAGTGCTGTTCCCCCTCCCCTGCCCACTAGGGGGCTAATGGGAAGGCTTGCTAGATAGGCCCCGCCTCCCACTGTAAGGTGGGCGGGGCTTGCTAGTCCCAGCTGCGGCTACAGTCCTTAGCACTGCAGAGCTCAACGTTCTTTAGTTTTAAAACAAAATTGGTGCAATACTTTTTAATGTCACTTTTACTATCACCAGATAATCCTCCTAAGTCAGCTTTTATTCTTCTTAAACTATCTGTTGATCTTGAACTCCACGACAACGCAGTAAGGTAGGCGTGCCAAGGCAGAGAGGAGCGCACACATACTCATTCACGCACACATGCGCGCTCTCTCTCACACACACACACACACACACACACAAAGTACTTCCACACACAAGTGCGCGTGCACACACATACACACATACGGTAAGGACCTCAATGAGTAAACAGCTACACTGGAAAAACTGGCTGCTCCCTCTATATTGCAGATTATATATACTGAGAAAAAACCACATTCAGTGCAAAGTTAAAAAAGCTCATACTCCAACATTGTCAGCAAACAAATGCAAAAACAAAAAGAGAACGTTAAAAATGAAAAGTATTGGAATTCAAATAAACATGACGAATGAAACAAACAAACAAAAAAAAAAAAATATATATATATATATATATATATAATAATGAGCTCGATTGAAGCTTTTTTCGGTCTGAAAGAGCACTACCTGGAAGCAAATATCCATCCGTTCACATTATAGAATTGGCCTGCATGATTCAAGTATTCCGACTGATATGTTTTTGGGCTAAAACAAAGTGGACATATGTGCAGAGAGAGAAACGTAACTTGTTTTCCACAGGGGAGACCCCGTTTTGTTGAATATCTTGTAAGTAAGAAAGAGTCCAACTAGTGCCATTGCGTTTACCTACTTCCCCCCCCCCACCATTTTCTTCTGCTGATTATTGATAATTCTTTACTGACCCTTCCCTCAGCCTGTTTGATTGGCAGGCGGTTCACATGGAGTCCGCACCCCCGTTCAGGTGATCCACTGGGAGGAAAGAGCTGATTGGAGAGGGGCTGCTGATCCTCCCCGCCTCGGTGCCACTGGGGCTCCCCCACAGGCTACTGGAATAGTTGGGCCCGCCCCAGAGGGAGGAGCTGTGGAGATCGCTGCTGTTCCACTGGTTAGGTTCAGGAGCGCGGCTGGGAAAGGGGTGAGACTGATCCATTCTGCTCTGAGAGGAGCCAATGGCCTGCCAACCGGAGGAGGGAGTGGCCAATGACTGCCCTTGTGCAAAGAAACGGTTGATTTCCTCCTCGCTGGCAAACTCAGCCAGAATAGTAGTGTTCCCCAAAACACACCTGCAGAAAGACAACAAGTAAGACACAAAGTGTTGGACTGAGTCCCAAACATTTCCAATCAGTAGGTTTATATGCACACAAGACACCAGTTATTCAGAGAAATCGGGTTACGCAGGAAATCGGAGAACATGTTTACATGTACTATAGGTTTAACAAACTATGACAAACCCTGAACTCAGAGTTGATGAACCCTGAAATGGAAACTCTGAGTTTCCACATCCAGAACAGCTAATCAGAGTCCGTTCAATCAAGTATTGTGTATTTTCTCTGTTGTGTGAGCGAACACAAGAGTTTTATTCAGTGATGTCTGTTAATTCAGTTCAATTAATAATGGTTTACCAGACTTACATATTTCCTTAATGGATGATGAAGTGGCGGTCTTTGATCCACTATATTTTAAATATATTTGTTAACCTTTAATATGAAATCTATACAATTAAAACAGTTGCTGAAATGCTTTTAAAAACACTGTCAGACTATCCGCAGTCCATTTAAAAAAACCTCACTTTTAATTACATTTTGCAGCTGCACCACAGAGCTTCAAACCTTCTGGTCAATATTTACATTTCTCCCCCTACTTCTGACCTTATTTTGGGAGCATGACTTAACTATTATACACTGCTTCCTGATTGTATTTGCGTTTTTTTTGTGTGTGTATGAGTGTGTCATAGGATTAGTGAGAACACAGGTTTTCCTAAATTTAAAAAATGACTTTCACTTGGGACCTAATTATTTAAAATAACATGTAATGATTTCTCCACTTCTCCCACTGGGTCAATTACAAAGCAAGTGCTTTAATACAGAAATTAAGAAGTATGTTTGTGTGTGTGCCTGATGTTCTTACATGTGCAGGCTCTTCTGGGCCTTGGCGGCCTCATCCTTGGAGCTGTAGCATACCACAGCGTTACCGTGCGGCAGGTTGAGGTGGAATGTGATCAGAGGGCCATGTTGCATGCACAAGGTCCTCAGGGTAGAGCCGTCAATCTGTGAGACAAATAGAAAACACACACAGACGGCATACACGGGGACAGCTGTTAAGCAACTACGGACAAATTCCATGCACAAACAATTCCCCCAAGTTGTCAGTTCGCTAAATATGAACAGACAACAACAAGGTGCAAATTGGGAGGCGTTATCTCAGGCAACCCTGGATCCAGAAGTGAAAATCCCATTAATTCTATACATAGAAAATGTTATCATTATAAATGTTCTTAACTGCAATGCAGAAGCATTTTGAAGCATTTTGAATTTGCTACCTTTCTGATTCATGCCTGACTAGCTTCTCCCCCACAGCAACAGCGGTTGCGGCTCATGGACAGTGCAGTATTTTGAGCCATCTGCCATGCCAAAATAACAGGCAATATATGATTTCTGAGAAACAATGTTGAAATAAGTAAAACTGGTGTCCATGACAAACTTATGATTCAGGGTTTGACTGTGCGAAGGCTTTTAGTTATTCTCTATTGATATTCATGGACAAATGATTACACTAATAATGGTGTGATTGTTAAATTATCCAGGAGAGTCCCATGTTTCTGTTAAGTAACAATGATGATATGGTTTGGTAAGAAGAAATGTGAACAAGAATACAGAATGAGTTCCCCTCCAGAACCAGCGGCCCCTCCCACTTTGCAACTCCACATAGGATGACAACAACAAAACACAGATTAAAATGTTCCATTTATGTCCGTGCGAGTACCTGAGGTGTGAGATTTTTCAGAACAAGCCATTGGGTTCTCCCTGAGCTGCTGCTGTCACCCCAACTGGAACCTGCCAACACACACAGAGCAGAATCATAAATCAGCCAATATAAAGAGCATTTTAGGTCAAATGAATGAGTTCGAGTAGACGTGTCCTCCAGCCAATGACATGGATGAAGTAACTGTCTTCTACTTAGAGTAGTACATCCTGCTTCTCTACATCACCTACAACGTTCAACTATGAGGGATCCAAACGGATAGTGTTGGAGGGTGTATTATCGAAAACAACTATGTTAAAACATTAAAATGATAAAGACTTATTCAAGGCAGCATCCAATTAGACTTGGAAAACAAGTCTACTTACAATCAGTCAGAACTTTATTTTTCTTGTCTGTGCAGAAGTTAAGAACCTGCAACGGCAGCCGACAGTAAAATTAAATCTGAATCTTTTTTCTGATTGCATCAAACTAAGTCTGGTAAATCTGGAGCATACACTACATATGCATACCAATTTAGTGTGATTTGTAACACAAAAATGTTGAAACAAACTTCCATTTTCTGTCTTTGATAGTTTCTTCCTCACATGATGATCAAAACCTAAACAAATCCTAGTTATTCAGACATTGCCTCAGTTCTTATAGTAAACGTGCGTCTCCCTCTGCTCTCACCAGGTGTGTATCTGGACTCGGAGGAGCCCCACCCCCCCAGCCTCAGGGCAGAGCCGTCCCAGCCGGAGGAGGCAGGGCTGGGCTTCTGGCTGGTGAGGCCAGGTGGTGGTCTGGAGGGGGCCGCCACAGACATGGCCTTGGGAGGCAGGGGGACCTTCCACAGCTCATGAGCCAGGGAGGAGTTGGACACAGAACCGCCGCCGGGAGACCACTTTGACTCACTGGGTCTGGCTGCAAGGACAGGGTAGAGCAAAGTGAATCCTCCATTTTCACAGATCTACTGGCAGTCTCTCAAAACATTTGTCTTATTATCCAACAGCAAGAATATAAAAAAACAAACAAAGAACACAGAACCAAAGCATTGTGAAGGATAAGATGGCAAAGGCGCAAGTACAAAACAGGAACGCATACCTGAAGTGCTTTGTGCTGTACTGGTGAGGGAACCGCTGTGGCTGGAGGCACGAATGGATGACCAGGCACTGTTAGAAGGCATCGTGGTGTTCAGTGATGAGGATGGCCCTGGGAAACAAAAAGAAGGGTTACCGTCTGTGAGAGTGTGTTCAATAGCATTTCTGTCAAATCTGCATCAAACATCAAATCAGCTCATTAAACCTGAATGCTCTCAAATATTTAATCTACTTCAGGTTTAGCTTTTAACATTTTTTACTAACAGAAAAAATACAAATAATAATATTTTGAAACTCAAACTAATTCAGCTGAGATCTGTGAGAATTCTTGGCTCAGAAAGCAGAAAGACTGCAAATCTAAACCCAAATAATGTCGACCACCTGCAGCTACCTGATAACGAGACTGCAACTAACAATTTAATAAAAAATTAGTTTAATACAAAATGATAAGCTTATACGACTTAAAATTTCAATTATTTCAGCAGAGTCAACACCCACAAAAAGGCAGCTCAGTTCACAGTGGTGCTTCACTAATAAACCAGCTTTTGCAGAGCGCAGACACTAAAATCTGCTTGTGACCTCCGACTGTAGTTGGCTTAAAATGAAACACTTTCTAAAATTTTACACATCATTCTTTGCTGATAAAAAGACACGTAATGGAGTTGGCTATGAGAACTTAACCTAAGTTTCTGTTTATGACCGTGTGTGGCCTACCGTTGTTCCTGTCCCTGAGGTGGTCTGTGTCACGGACGGTGTTGATGGAGAGGTTGTTGATGACACTGCCGGGGGTCACATAGGGGTCAGTCTCAGGGTCAATGTTGGGGTAACCTTTCCAAGGCTCCCCGGGCCGGAACTCTGTAGACACACACACACACACACACACACACACACACACACAGACAAAACAATCAGTTGTTTTCAGTGCAAACCTTTTGTTTTGTTTGTTTGTGAATTGGAAAGCATGTGTACCTGGGGGCCAGGTGACAGTGTTTCCATGGGGCGGGGGGGAGTTGGCACGGGGTGGCCAGCCATCACCCACCGAGCCCATTGATTGGCCGGGAGGACTCAGGGGAGATGGGCCAGGAGACAGGAAGTCATAGAAGGGAGAGTCCTCCAGACGCAGCCCAGACGACATAGCACCTGTGGGACAAACACACACACAAACGTAAGCGCACAATTGCACAGACGAAAACTCATTGCTTTGGTGAGACTACTGTACGGGCAGAAAAATATAATTTCAATGGCACCAGCTGCTTCTATATTTCCAAAATCTATCATCTAACATTCGTTTAGAATAAATAAGCCACAGGGACTGGTTTGTCCAGCATTTAGTGGATGGCTTATGTTTAACTGAAACATCAAATGTACAGAAACGTGTTCAATGATGACCTCCACCCACTTTTTTCGTGTTTTCCCCATTTACAGTACTTTGACTTTGTAGGGCAACTTTGTTTGTGGTAGTCCATACTGCAGAAGTACATGTTCACCTCTCCTAGACTGACAATCATTGCATACACAACTCTGCACTGTCAAAAACCCAGAATCTTCTGTACCAGGTTTGCTGTTCTGCTCCAGAGGGTCAGTAGCCCAAAGTTTCTTCAGTCTGGACTGGGGCGGCTCTTTGTAGCTCACAGCTCCGCCACCACTACCACCACCAACACCCATGTCCAGGGATACATTCAGGTTAGAGTTCAAGCCTGATGGGAGGGATGGAGGAAGAGAGAAAACAGTAGAGAGAAGAAATTTAGGCATTAAAATCTCCATCTAGAGGATTAAATTCGCGGTTGGTCTGAAAGCACCATAATAGAGGCTAACGTACTTAAAGGGAAGTTGCTGAAGGATCCGAGAGCAGCAGCATCCTTCTGCATCTCAGGGGTATTGTGGGACAAGTAGTTATCCAGGTACGGTTTGTGGGACGGGGCCTGTTTCAACAGGGTGGGGTCCAGGTGCCGTGGCGGCTGCATCATTGATGGAGACGAACCAATAGGACGTGTCTAAGGACAGGAGGAAGGAAGTTAGAGAAACCAATCAATGAGACCATGGAGATGCTACCGTTTCATGAAACACAAACTCTTCATGGTGTAATAAAGAGAGAGACACACACACACACACACACACACACACCTGTTCAGTCTGTCGTCCCACGGGCATGGCTCTCTGGCTCTGAGCTTTCTGTTGCTGTTGTTGCTGCTGCTGCTGCTGGAGGAGAAGACGCTGCAGACAAACAAGAAGACAAATTTTAATAAAAGCAGGTGGCTGATGTTTTTGTCTCTCAGATTAAGTTTTTCAAACATTTACTACACAATACTGTATACTTCAGTACATTTGTAGAAAGAGTAATACAGCTACAATATGTAAGCCAGTGACAATTCTTCAAAGGAACATTGAAATACAAGGTTCACTGGCTACATGCATTTGAGTGCAGATGCATGAAACTTTTTCTATTCCTGTATTGAAGTTTTCAGTTCAAGAAATTATATTTAGTCATGTGTATGTGGCATGTATTTTGACTGCGATTTAGTGACATTTCATTCAACTACATCAGGTTCTCCCTTGTGTTGAGGAAATTAAGTATTTTACTCTTAACAAAAATCTATTGGGGAAAGAACTGCAACGCAGAAAAACTCGTTCTTACACAGACACAGTTTCAGTGCCTGATAGTAAATCTTTGTTGTTTACACATTGCTCTGATTAACATTAGATGCCCAGCGCAAAGACACACTGTACATAAATAAATAAAAACCATGCAGAAAAACATTTTCTCCATGCCAGTAAGTATGTGTGTTCATGTTTCCATTACTCTACCTGTAATTGGTTGATCTGGTTGAGCTGTGACAGCTGGTTGAGCTGGGAGAGTTGGTTGAGCACAGCCACCTGCTGAGGGCCAAACAGAGGGTTCAGACCTCCGTTACCTCCTGGGTACTTCAACAGGGATGGAGGGACCTGAACACAAACAAGATTTGGGTTTCAGTTTTATTGAGTTAGATGTTAAACAACATATCAAACCATGGGGAAAAAAGGGCAGTGATCATATTTAGTAAATTTGGTTGACAATGTTAAGTGAAAACTATTGATACTTTAGTATTATTTGGTTATTTGGTAAGACCAGACGCAACGTGCATGAGAGAATTATTCAATGTGCGATAACATTGTTATATTTTGAGATGACATATGACTTAAATAAATAAACATATATTGAAGTGTGCATATTAACTGCCTGGTTGTTTTTAAATTCATTATAGGATTAAAATTTAATATTTTAAATACAGCTACATGTTTCTAGAGCAGCAATATTAATGTTTACAAAAGCAAAGTCGCTATATATAAACTCAATATCTGACATCACAATACTGAGTGACATTTAGAAGCAATAAAAACTCAGACCAGTCTGCATCAGTCCCTCCTCCTCCTCCTCCCCTCTGCTGTTATTCACTGCCTGCGGGTAACGTTACCTGGTAGAATTAGGAGTGGCTGGTTTGTCTCAGCCAGCAGCTGAGTTTTTAACAATGTGTCAGATTTTAAGACTACAAACCAGTCTATGCTCCAGACAGACAGCTTTCTATTTAGCTTGTTGTAACACTTGGCTAACTGCCAAGCTAATGTTGGCTGTGCTTGTAAAAGATGACTGAGGACAGAGCAGTTTAAATGAATCCTTTCTTCATGTTTACCTTACAGACAGGTGAAGGTTTCATTGCACGTATTTACAGTAACAAGCGTAGCTGTCGTCAACACAAGTAGTTTGGAGCCAACCAGTCTCTGACGGACGGACACTCAACAACGTGCTGCTCCGTGAGCTCTCTGAACTGGAAACAGCTTCACTGCAGCACAGCTGCTGTCCACGAATATGTGAAGCAGCACATATGAAACGAAAGTGTCCTGTAGCACTTTGTCTAGACTGCAGCACCGCAAATCGTGTTTACTTTCTGTCGCCCCACAAGCACGGCACATTATCAGCACGAGGACACGTAGTATTTCTTCATTGCTTTCATGTTAAAAGTAATTTCTGCCCCGCTGCTGTCATGGTAACGTAACAATCGGCTGTTTCATATTTTCTGTTTATTTAACGGCCACAGATAAGCGAGAAAACCGCTGAATCTAATTACAGACAATCTGTGACTGACTGTACAGTCTGAGTCCTTTCAGGTGTTCATTGATGCAGAAATACATCTTATTATCATACTGCATTACTTAATATTGAAATGAATCCATGTCAGAAACATTTAAAGTTTTAAGTAAAGTAGCCTAATTAATGTCTGTTATTGTTATTATCACAACACATCACTGACGTGGAAATTTGATTAATTTTAAGATTTGCTGCTATTGTCATTATTCTAATGTGCTTCATCAGGATGATTGAATAAAATAGATTTATTGATTAGACATGTTTGATATTTTGGATAAATTGGTATGTTAATCGAGTAGGCAACATTTCTTTCTTTAGAATAAACAAAATTAGTCGTTAGATTAATTGACTAATCGAAAAAATAAACGTTAGATTAATCGACTTGAAAAATAATCGATATGTACAGCCCTAGAACCGGGTCTCGAACCCCATCCCTAGTAGCTGGTCTATACTATGAAGGATTATTCATCTCAAATGAGTTTCAAGTCCATGCAAATGCTGCTTGGAAGGTAGGCAACAATAACACCAAATTAAAGCTGCAAGCAGCGTTGGGCGGGCCCTTGCACGTATAGCGCGTCGGGGTGTGAGGCGGCCGTGTTGCATATTCTGGAGCTCTGCCAGTGCGGCTGTGAATTTGCTACGCGCTTCAGACGCTGCATGAAGGTATTATACGTCACTTCCTGTGTCCCCCTTTGTGGCCCTACATAGCACTTGGCAGTAGGAATATAAATTAATATTGGCATGTAGATGTGTTCGGGGTGCCACAGTTATCAAGCACGTAAAGTTTTGTTCAGATGTGAGCATGTACACTGAAGTTACAACAACTTCCTGTGTCATGGCGAAGAGTTGATCTTTGACGGCACGCCACGGACACGCCTATTGACAAAAACTCAGATAGCACAACTTTTCATCGTCAATGCCTTTAGAAGGCACAGCAGAAATTTGATGTCGATCTGAATAAATCCCTAGGAGGAGTTCGTTAAAGTACGGAGTGTGTAAATCATCTAAAAATTGCCGTAAAATTCAATATGGCCGACTTCCTGTTGGGTTTAGGCTATGGCTCCTAGATACTTTTGTGTGCGTCTGGACAAGATACACGTACCACAGAAAATTTGTGCACGTAGGTGAAACGTGCGTCGGGGGCTGCTTCGTTAAAGGTCAATTCCTGTTGCCAGCAGGTGGCGCTATGACTGTGAGTGAATGTCAGCATGTGCATGTGTTCAGGGCGGGACTCTCATCCTACATCTAAGGTTTGGTGCAGATGTGAGCATGTACACTGAAATTATAATAACTTCCTGTTTCATGGCGAATCATCGATGCCACGGACACACCCATTGACGAAAACTCACAGATAGCACAACTTTTCATCATCAATGCCTTTAGAAGGCACAGCAGAAATTTGAAGTCGATCCGACTAAACGCCTAGGAGGAGTTCGTTAAAGTACGGAGTGTGTAAATCATCCAAAAATGACCATTAAATCCAAAATGGCCGACTTCCTGTTGACTTTAGGGTATGGGTTCTTGAGGCTTTTTTTTTCTGGACATGATGCATGTCCCCAAAAATTTTGTGCATGTAGGTTGAACGTGGACGAGGGGCTAATTTTTTCCAATTTTCTAGGTGGCGATAGCGAGTCATTTTGCCACGCCCATGCACGAAACCCATAAAATACGAAATTTTTCACCACTTCTGACATGTGTGCAAAATTTGGTGAGTTTGAGTATGTTTAGGCCCCCAAAATTGAGCTTACTTTGCAGAAAGAAGAAAAAAAAAAAACGTTTGTGCTCGGGCCCTAACAAGAGAAAAGCCCATAGATCTACAAAACTTGATTTCAATGATCTGCATGTAGTCTTGAAAACGCTAAAAGTGCATCCATGTTAAAGACAAAGCGACATTCAAGCCACTGTTGTGACGAGACTTGTAAAACGTTGTAGCCCAACACATAATGAGCAATAGATGCAATAGCATCTGAATGTACTGAATGTTTGTGCGCGCTACCTGAGAGGGCAGGATGGGTGGAGGCACTTGGTTACGAAGATTGGGTTGGGGGGGGGCCTGGGACTGGGGGCCACCTCGGCCCTGTGCTACGATGTTGCCACCCATTATCGGGTTTACATTCTGATCAGGGAAAACACAAACACACACACAAAGGGTCAAACAACTTGCAACAAACTTAAAAATCTGGTTTTGTCATTTATAATGTACAACACGTGGTAACAATCAAACTTAAGTAAAGTCTTTGGGGAGTAAAACACAAGTGAAATGTTAGATAAATGTGGGAAATAACATTTATCACAACATTGTGATGTGTATGGCATTCTCATGCTAGAATACCAAACACGTAATATGTATTTTGATATTTGTTCTATTTTTCACATAAAGTGATAGTTTCTTATTGTTAGTATCTTAGGGTCTGAGGCTCATGGCCTAAAGACTACATCCTTTTCATCCTTCCACACTCACCTGTCGAGTGCCCCCAGGACTAGAGCGGGCAGGAGACTGCCCAGAGTCAAGACAGGGGATAGGCTGAGCAGAATTGGAGGAAGAGGAAAAGCTCATGCTTTGATTGGAGGAGAGCTCATCAGAAGCTTGGCTATCGTAAGCAGAGCGGGAAACAGACAGCTGCAGAAGCAAGGTCAGGTGCACAGCAGATGGACGCCAAGCACAGAGCGACAGGAAGCACATCAGCAGCCAGAGAAGTGCAGACAAGGAAGGAGAAAAGAAGGAAAAGAGTTAATTTAAAAAGGGAGTGTAGGAGATGAGTAGAAGTAAGCAACGGAGAGGAAGGGAGTGCACCAGAGGATGAGAGTCAGAAAGACAGAAGCAAAGATAAGAGACAAGCAGCCTTAAGTGCAGAAGGAAAAGCAGCAAAGCCCAAAAAACCCACGGCTGCTTTGTACAGAACTATGTAAGGGAATGAATCATTACTGCATAATTAGAAATCACTTACGAACTACTAATTGTAACAAGTAACCATGTAAGTGTGCATATTTCCTTTAGACACCACCTACAGACTAATTCATAATGATGACACACAACATCGTGTTAACAGCAAGTATCAAATGAAACATCCCTTTCAGTAGTCCACACATCAAATGCAGTGTGTTAGAACAACCACTGTGGGGCGCTACAGGACTGAGAGAGCACTACCCAGCCAGACTCACATGGGACTCTCTTCCACTCCACACCTACCTCATGATCACCATAATTGAAGAGAGAATGACCAAACCACTATCTAGTAATGTCGTTTTAAACAGCAGAATGTGTCGATTACCAATCCTGTAAAGTGCCGGTTCTACCAACCTGCTGAATTTCAACTTGGTACCACATTTCGACAACAACATTTTCATTTTGTATTCCTAAGAGTTGTTCTCCTGTGACCTTTTCTTCACTCCCACCCATAGTATAACAGGGAAACATAAAGGTTTCTGCATACCTTGTCATAGTAAGGGCTGCGATCCATGGCAGACTCCTTGTGGAGATGGTGTCGAGACCCGGGGGTCTTCCCCATTACTCCATTGAAGTCTCCCATACTGCCCATGTCCATACGTTTGTCCTGCACCATCCCTGCTCCTGTCTTCATGGAGTCGTCAGGAGAGTCCCTCTGCAAGGGGAAAAATACGAAATTGGATTATAGAGAAAGAAAGCATAAATATTGCATTCATTCATTAAATATTTAATATACATTTTTTTTTAAAAACAAATGGTAACGGCTTTAAAATGGAAAAGTATTTCCTGGTGGGAACTACACATTGATTCTGATCAAGTGGCCATTGTAACAAGTGTTTCATTCAACACTAACAAGTGAAAAGATGAAACCGAAATGCATTCTTCATGATAATGATCGTCAAAAATTCCATGTACGTTAGAACACCACAACCACTTAAAAACACTGATTTTTAAAATGAAAGAGAGATTGTCCTTACAGAGAAGTTCATGCTGTTGAACTGGTTGACGAACGGTTTCATCCAGGGTTCATCCTGTTTGTTCATCGGTTTGTTCATCTGAAACAGACAAAAATAATTCACTGGAGACACTAGACGCATTAGCAGGACTGCTTTGTGTTTTTTTCTTTTCTGTCAACAACAAAGGTGGCTAAATGAACTCCAGACTGATGATGTGCTTTACTGTAATGGCAGGCGTTCAGACGGAGTGAGGATCATGTTTAGGATGAACAAATGCCCAAAGCCAAAAGGTGAACAAACCTTGATGGAGCCTCTATGCTTGTAGTTCCAGGTGTTTTGTTCATGGGATCTGTTGTCCTGTTGGCTGTTGCTCCACATGCCAATCTCAACCTCCTCTTCCTGATCCCAGCTATTGCCCATGGACGCCTCTTCACCACACCATGTCTCCATGGGCTTCGGAACTGGAGCTACAAAAGGAGGTAGGGACAGATGAAGAAACTGGATAACAACAAGTGATACTATACAAGTTCAAGGTCAGCCAGGACTGCTCATAGTTTAAACACAGGTTTTTGCTTAATATTAATGTTCATGAGTGCGCCTACCAGATTTATGTTGGCCGCCCCATGTAGACCCAGAGTCTCTGCTACCCCTGCTGGGTTCTTCCCAGCTGGAGCTGGTTTCCATGGGTTTCCCCCAGGCAGACGTCCCGTTGTCCACTTTCACCGGTGGAGCAGTGGTAGGCTCCCCCCATGTTGAGGACTCTTTCTGTTTGGGGTAAGGCTCACCCCAACCTGGAGGAAAAGAGCATGATCCCCATTATAAATATGATATACTTTCTGTGGTGTGGTGCAGTTGTTCTGAACCAATAGCTTTTTCCATTATTTCATGCATGCCTCAAATTTAAATATGTAGATGTATTCAGTTTGTCTTTAGACCTTTCAGACATTCTCATATTTACAACGATGCTGCAAGTTTACATGTTTTTCCTCTGCTGGAATCAGCTAACAGAGCTCAAGGAAAGAGCCCTGCTCATGTCTCTGGGGAACCCTGCGTCAACTTGCTTATGTAAGTGTTGTTTACATTAACTTTTGGGGGTGTAGATGTGTATACAGGCCCCAACACACTTTCCAATGTGAGACTGTGTGTGCTCAAGTGAGCGCAAGTATGAGTTCAAAAGGCTCCTGTTACAGCTGACCACCCAGACCTGCTAATTTCTCCCTCCACAGGAGGCATGTGGGGAGATGCCAGGGATACCTCCCCATAAAAATAGGATAGGTCATCGGGTGGCCTCCGGCTCCAGTGTCCCTCATGTGACAAGCACGCTCACACACAAAGAAACATGTACACACACCTAAGCACACATGCAGAGGTAGATGCATATACACAAACTGGCACATCCTTTCATGTTGTATGGCAGATATACATTTGCTATACACTCGCACACAAAGAGTGATTGTGCACACACACTAATTGACAAACTGTAACCCTGGCCCACATCTATTTCTCCGTTTCACCGTCTACATAAGTGCATCAGTTGATCTAATAAAAAGGAGGATGAGAAACACAATGTGTGTGTAACTTGTGTATAAATGTGTTTCACAAGCCCATCTAAGAGCAAACTGAAAAATATACAATGTCTAAAACAGAACAAATATTGAAGTTACATTTTGTTCTTAAAAAAAGTTTAAACCTATGTTACATATCCATGAACACAATCGTATTGACCTACTTCTTTCACTTCACATAATTTTCACTCATTTTACCAATGTTGCAGTTTTCATTGCTTTTTGCACTTCAATATTCACAAAAAGAAACCCACAATTATCTAAAAATCAGTCTAAATCTACCACCTGATTATTTTTATTAAAGTAGCTGTCTAGTTGCCCCACCCTTTCTAGCCATCCACTTTGCTGCTCCTGTTAGCTCGCTAGACAGCAACCCTGAATAACCTTAACAGCCCCTCCCTGCCTTATTTTCCCCTTCTCAGACCACTGCAGAATAGGTGCCTTACTCGTTTTAGTTTTCCCCCATCTTACATTGGAACCACTCCTATTACCAAGTCACCAGACCTCCTCCTCTACCACTCATGGGCTCGCTCGCTCTCTCTCTCTCTCAAACCCAACAAAAGCCAGTGTTTCTACAGCAAGCAGAATTGGCAGGCGAGAGAAAGAGAGGAGGGAGAAAAAAGGGCGAATGAGAGAAGAGAAAAATCGATGCTCTTAGCATTCCAAACGGGTGACTCAACCGGCTTTACAAAAAGCCCTCAACATGGACAACACCGTAGGGAAATGGGAGAGAATGGCTGTATGGGTTTGTTTTCTCTCCATGCTTCTGTTCAAATTGTGTATGCTTTTGAATACATTTGTGAATGTTTGTGCATCAACACTTCTTGTGTTTGCACTGTATAAATCCTTTTAAGACCTTATTTCAGATTTCTCAAAAGGAGTGTGGGCGGGACTTGCACCTTTTTATTCATTCTTTAGGCTTATAGACTGCAACAGACAGCTTGCAATTACATGCGAGAACCATTTTAGATACTCTGTTCATGTCCTAGCATTTTTTATATGTACTTCAATAACAAACAAAAAACACTAAAATGGGGGGGGGGGACAAACAAAAAAAAACACACTAATCTGCATGCTAGTGCAACACAGAGTGTGTACATGTTGTTGGAACATTTGAGAATCGGCAGAACTAAGGAATCAATTGACACACCGACATGATGAAAGTATCCCTGCAGGCTAAAAACCACTGTAATATGTGAATAACATCAAGATCTGTTGTAACCTGGCCAACCACATCTATGTGGACCTAAACTATAAAGAGGACAAGTGAGACTCAGTGGTGTTTGAATCATCATTATCTTTTTCACATATATGCACATGTTAGTGTGGACATGTGCACAATTTTACATATTCCAACTTACCAGAGCTGCAGCTTTTCTCCTGGGTAAGAGGCTGCGCGGGCTGAGGAGGATGCTTCGAGCTGTGTGCTGGGTGGGACTGGTGCTGGGAGGATGGGCCTATGGCCTCCTGATCAGATTGGCTAGTCCTGTTCCACATGTTGACAGCTCCACCACTGTATTTACCTATGAAGGTTTCATGTGAGTCATCAGCTGAAAATGAGAAGCCTGGAATTTCACATGATTATGTTCAGGTTTATACAGCTTTTTCTGAATAAATGTATAGTGGGCTGAGTGTTTACCAGGGTCTCCCCAAGCTGCTGTCCCATCATCGATCTCCATCCTCCGACGAACGGACTCTGGAGAAGGTTCTTCCCACCCAGTTGCCACTTCCTCCTTCTGACCTACTGTGGGAATGGGGCCTCCCAGCCAACCTGATTGAAGAATGAAAAAAAATGCAAGTCATTCATATATTGTATGTCCTCCCACTTAATGTTTTTTTCTATACATTGTCAAATATCAAAAAAAAAAAAGGGGGAAAAAAAAAATCTTATTCTAGACTATATTTCTGATAGGATGCATACTCCTAATAACTACCTGTGGGCTTGTCAGGACCTTGATTGCCTTTGGACATGGTGGATTCAGGACCTTTTCCCCACTCGTTGGAGGACTTGGGATTTGGCTCACCCCAGGTCTGGGCTCCATGGTTGTTCTTCATTGGCTCACCCCAGCCCTGGCTGTTACTCTGAGGATTGGGTTTGTGGACTGAATCGCCCCAGTTGGAACATGGGTTTGGAGTGTTCTGGTCTGGAGTATTTGATCCTCCACTACCTACCCAGGTGTTGCTGCTGCTGGTGTTGGTTCGACTTGGCTCGCTCCAACATCCAGAGCCAGACCGGTCGCTGTCACTGTCCCAGCCCACTGAGCCTGCACCTTTTTGGGGCTCCCCCCAGTGGTTGTTGGGCCCTGGTCTGGCACCATCTCCACCATTACCCCAGCCTTCACATCCATTTCTACTATTGGAACCCCAGCCCTGCTGTGGTTTGGGCGCATTAGTCCACGTATTGGACCTAAACAAAAACATTGAATGTGATCAGTGAAATATAAAATAGTAACATCTTAGTTACATTTACTGCAAAAACATTTTTCTGCCTCAATACGTATTTCTATAATGCCCAAACATAAATTACCTGTCATCTTTGTTAATGTTATTGCTCCAGGTGTTACTGTTGTTGTTGCTCCCCTTGTAGCTGGATCCTTCATTCCAGCCACTCTGCCCACCTCCTCCACTTGCTGGAACTTTGCTGTCCCACCCAGAGGTTGTCCGCTCTCCCCAGCCAGAACTTCCTGTACCTGGGCCTGAGCTGCCTGGCCCACCCCCCCAACCTGCAAGTACATTAAAGAGAGATACATGTTTTTTGCATTCGGCAACATACATTTCTGTTCTAAATAAGTATATGTTTATTTATATCATTAATGCATTCACACAAAAGGTTTCATACACATTCTAGCCCTACCTCCAGAGGTCTGAGAGGGAGCTGCCGGTGTTGCTGTGCCCCAGCCGGAACCTCCGCTGCTATGCTTTCTTTCGTCTCCTCTGGGACCCTGGTGTTGATTGTTAGCAGGAGAATTGACATCCCAGGCGGTGTTCTGCCGTATGGGCGTCTGTCCCCATCCAGTGTTTGACAGAACCCTTGGGTCCACATCGGCCTGGGACACAGTTGACGCTACTGATGCAGAATGGGTACCTTTTCTACGGTTTCCCCCTTTTGGCTGGCCACCCTCCCTCTCTGAGCTGGATCGACCTCCGGAGCTCTCTCCACTTCCCTCACTTCCTCCTGAGCGACCCCACCCTGCAGTGACACCTCCCAAGCTGTGGCTTCCACCTCCTCCCCCTCCCATGCCCATGGCGTCATCCTCCAGGCTCTTCCAGCCATTGTTGGCAGAGCTTCCTTTATGACTTCCAGCATCTGTATGGTTGATTCCAGGAGTTGTTGATCCCCATTCTCCATTTGACATCTTGTTGATAGATGTGGAAGAGGACGATGACGACGAGGAAGAAGAAGACGCGCTGCTCCCCCACGGACGAGGTATGCCTGCTGGAGGGCCCATGGTAGTTTGGTTCCCATTTCCTGGTGTTTGGCCTGCAGAGCCTGGGATTTGATTTGAGCCAATACCCCAGGACAAGTTGCTCTGGGGCTGGTTTGGGTTGTTGGCAGGCCCCTGGTCCCAGCGTGGGGCCGCAGTGTTATTGTCGTTATTATTACTCTTGTAAGCAGCAGTAGAGGAGATTTGGGGGTTCCCAGCCTGCATTGCGGCAGGGTTTTGGGGGTTCACAGTGTCTACATTTGGGTGGCCCTTGTCTCCAGGGTAGGTAGTTGTGCCCCAAGGCGTACCGAAGGCCCCAGGACCTCCTAGCTCTCCTTGGGGGTGCAGGGAGGCTGATGAGGCATTTCCATTGGCCAGCGGACCCCCATTCCCTCCTCCAATAGAGCCCCAAGAACACTCCCCACTGAGCTGGGGTGAGGCGGTAGAGCTTGGTGGACTAGAGGTCATTGTGGCATTAGTAGTAGTAGTAGTAGTATTCATCATAATAGTGTTATTTGGTCCATTGGATTCAGTGTTAAGGTTGGTAGGCTGTAGGCCACCATTTCCACTGTTGCTGCTTCCTAACACATTGCCGCTTGCTGTACCATTATTCACCTCAGTGTCTTCCATACTGCTGTTTGGAGCTGCCATGCCACCCCAGCCTACTTGGGGAACTATACTCAGTTTGGACCTCATCCCCTGAGCCTGTGGAGGACGTTGGCCCTGGGACAATGAGCTTGGGGTTAGATTCTGCGGCCAGGCACCATGGTTGGGATTTGGGTTTGAAGTGTTTGGGTTTAACCCTCCATTGATGCAGGGGGTGCTTCCGCCGGTGGTAATCATGTTGCTGCCTGACTGCGTGCCCCATATACCACTGTTATTGACGGGCTTGTTGTGGTGGTTACCCATGTTATTGCTGCCAATACTGCTGGACCCTGCCACAGAGTAGTGGGAGGGGCCAGTGATGTTATTATTTCCATTATTTGCACTGCTGATGGTTCCGACGCCTCCACCAATGACCTGACGACCGTTGCCGTTGCCATCTCCATTCACTGAAACGCTGACCATCATGGCAGAAGTCACCAAAGAGGAGGAGGGGGAAGAAGCCGTAGAAGACACAGAGGAAGAAGCATTTGCTGACATCATCATCACTGTTGTGACAGCGGCAAGGTTTTTCTCTGAGCCGATCGAGGAGCTAGAGTCTGCGTCCATGCATTCTGATGCCAACTCAGGGTCTGATCCTGACCCACAGCCAGAAGAGGAAGAAGATGAGGAGCAAGAGAATGAAGAGGAGGAGGGAGGCCAGACAGAAGAGTTAGTTGACGAAGGGTTGTTGGATTTGTCGGTGCTTCTGTCCACTAGGACTTTGCCCCAGTTGCTGTTGCCGTCACTGCTGCAGGGAGAGCCAGAGGACCAGGGGGAAGGCTCATACTGTGAGTCCAAGCCAGGGTGCTCCAGACCTGAAGAGTGAATGGGTGGAAATAGCAGGGGATACTGTTAGTTTGAATAGATTAAACAAAATATTCCTTTCTAATGACATGACAGTAAGATGTACTATATTGAATAAAGCAGATGTGGTTTAAATTTCCCTCATCCACAGTTGTTTTGATATTTTTCTATTCCCGCCGACCTTCAGCTGGCCCAACTGTTCTGCATATGATCAGCGCCAGGCCTAAGCCTAGACACAGCTGCCACCATTTTGTCACCACAGCAGGACACAAAAGCCTGCCAAAGCTATAAACTGGGATTCAGGGAGGCGAACGCCAACCATCAGCACGAGAGGAGACACGGAGGGCATAGGGGTGATGGCAAATGAGTGTGAAAAGAGGGAGTTGAGGATAAAGGGAGTGAGGGGAGGAGGTGGTGGCAACTGAAAAATATTCAGACGTCTTCAAACCTTGCTATTTATTCCAAATATATTAAAATTGACATCATTTGCATTCAGGCCAGGCAAGTCTATAAAATTTGGACCGAGACCATGATCTAATTTTGGTTTCATGGCCATTTTACATGCACTCATTCATTCTCAATGGCAAGCGCCCAAATTTTCAGTGCTATAGCAACCTTCTGTGCACAATATTACTGCATTTATTAGCATTTGCCAGCAGTCTTTGTCACTAACTGCATTCTTGCAGTGGGAGCCCCCATTCATTAGCTGTGGTAAGCTAATATTAATCTGTTATGATACTCGATACTAACGCACATTAAAAGTGTTTTAATGTGAACGCAGCAAAGCAGTCAGTGACATAGGTCTTTTTTGTTAAAGGACTTCTAAAAATGTGCTGACAATATTAGGTAACATTAACAAAAGCTGACTCAATTTAGTTTATCCAACTTATTTGACATTTTGTTGCCATGTAGTTGGTGATTTGAGACATTTTAAGGACTAAAAAGATTTTAAGGCAAAGTATGAAAGGAGAGTATCTGACTTTGTCTTGTTTGCTTTTTCTTTGAATAAACAATTAACTTTCAGCAATGGAAAGGGAGAAAAAAAATTTGTAATTACTTCTTGGCTTGTGAACAAACATTCAAAAGATGGATCATGCAGTTAAATTATTTCCCTTATTTGTAGGCAGCATTTCTGCACCAGCTAAGCACGTGTTTTTTTATTTGAATACCTGCTGCTATTTGACAATTCATGCTTGGTCATCATGTTCTTTTAATCACGACAACATCTGCTGCCTTTTTTTGTGTCCGGTTTCTTCACAAGCTATCTCCTGAGACCAAAACTGTGTGCTTACTAACTTTGAGATTCTTGACCAATTAGTTGCCCATCTTCTCACTTGAAGCCCTCTCTTTCACATAAACCGTTGCCAGCTCTCTATGGCGCTTATCGTGATTGCTTGCCAAGTCTCCTCTTGCACCCTTTCACACCCACACATCTCTCTCTTCATCTCTCTGATATGCCATGAATAAAATACATCATCTCTGTCAAGGTCAGGTCAGACTGGGTCTACCTAGTCTGTCGCTCACAAAGCAGGGCCAAAGTAAGACACTGGGAGGAAGAATGAAATGCAGAAGAACAGGGAAGGAATAAAGCAATGTGTAGTCACCTGCTTGATTAGGGGAGTGGCTGACGGAATCCCGAATGGGAGCCATGCCTGGAAACAGAGAGAGGAAAGACTGTCAAACAGACTTGGAGGGAGTTAGAGATACAGCCAGAAATCAAACACAGTGGGGAGATGTTAGAAATAGTTAGGACAGCGAGAACATCCCATGAGAATCAAGCAAACAGAAAAGAAAACAAGAGTGTTAAAGACAGAAGGGTTAAAAGTAAAAAGGGCTTGCAAGTAGAAGAGTATTAGAGGACAGACCCTGCTAGTTGCTGAACCTAAGTTAGTAGTTATACAATAGTATAACATAAAGGAATAAATCCAATATCTGAATTTAAGTAAGTGTGTGTAATTATCAGCGATTAGTCTGAGCAGAATTTTGTGCTTTTAGCGCAACCAGCTTTAGTGCGTTTCTGACAACAGTAAATATCACAGTTGTGATATAAATTTAGAGCAAACCAACTATTTTAAACATATTTCAAACACCTCAGGAAACTAGAAAGAGCTTTCAATATTGCACAAAATCAAAAAACATTTTGTGCAATTTAAGGCCACAAATTAGGCTCATTACTAGTTTAGTCTAATCTGAGTTAGAAATTGGTTGCTTTGTGTGAAATGTTTTTTCTAGAACTTTGTTCAGACAGAAGTACAAGTAGAAACCAATCAAACTAGGAACAGGAACACATACAACATTTATTTTTGCTATTTAAGTGTAATGTGTTAAAAAAAAAAAACCAAACAAAAACAATTGTTTTGTTGCTTATCCAAGACAGTGCTTATTGGCAGACAGTGTGCTTGTGTAGGCTCACGTCCCTGTGTGTTTGAGGATACAGACAAATGTAATTTAATGTAATCCACTGCTGTTTGCTTGTCCTCTTTCCTTTCTTTTCATTGTTTACCTGTGAGTACGGCTCGTGGCTGAGGCTCCTGGCTGGGCAGGAGGGCGTCCACGGGTTGAGTAGAGAACAGGAGACCTCTGGTTCCCAGGTCAACAAAGGGGAGGTCAATGGTCAAAGCTCAGAGGGCACAGCCTCAAGGGTCTGAGGTGAAGAAGCAGGGCTTGTCAGAGCGGGCAGCAAGCTGATCAGGCCCCGTTGGCATTGCTGAGGACTGTATGTGTAAGCGTTTGTGTTTGTACGTGGGTGTAGGTGTGTAAGCGTAAATGTGGGGAGGGGGAAGAGGGGATGTGGTTCAGGTTTAGGACTCTGCCTTGACTTGGTATGCTCTGGCACTGTAGACAGAAACAGACAGAAGAGAGAAAGATGATTAGTTGAACTTATTGCATGCCCATCATCAGTAACATGTAAACCTGTCAGTTTTAATATACACCACCAGCAATCATGCATGTGTGACATACACAGAAAAATTAAATAAATCCAATATCCTTTTCTTCTAGTATACTCATCATGAAGCCTACATGAAAATAAATTATAGTTCGTAGCACCACAGCAACCGTTGATGAATGCGGCTAGCATGATCAAACCATCACAACGTTATTTATGATCGAGCGAGGAAGGTTTGACTTGTCCAATGTCTAGCTACTGAAAATGACTACTTACACTCAACAGCCAAACTACTTGCGGTTACATTTTTTCATTCCCTGTGACAGAGCGACAACGATCACCACAAGAACGTTTGCAGTGTGTCCAGCATGAGAAAATTGGCTTGCTTTGTGTTGTCTTCACTGTGAACACTCTCTACCAGCCCCACCCTACACAAACAGCCAAAGCTGATCACTCCTCGTGGCATCTTCATAGCCGCTATAGCGTTGATGCAAAGTTACATTTCAGAGAAGGTAAACTCCAATGAATGCTATAGCATAGCTGTAGGGGCTACATGTGTTGGCTCTGCAGCCAAAATCTACTTTTTTTTTTTTTTGCCAGAGTTGCCAGTGGCAGCCACTGGCAAAAATAATCAAAATAATTAATCATTTCCCTCTGTTCTCTTCCTTCAGTAGAAGGAGAAAATTAGTCTCCATCTCTCCCTTCTTATGGTACACTGGACTGTGAGACAAGTATGTGAGTCAGCTAGGTTAGTCAGAAATGTTGTATAAAGAAAGAGCGAGAGGGAGACTGACCACCGTACACCTTCTCTTCTTGAATGTGTATGGGTAAGACTAGATTAGGGTTACACAACAGGCTTAAAGCTGGCAGCACTGCCCTAGTACACCATGGCAAGCAAAATCCTAGAGCAGAGAGATAAGTAGTAAGGGCATGACAACAAGACACAGTGAGAGAGTGAGGTAAAGACAATACGAGGAGGAAGATTACAAAGGAGAAGAGGGACACAGACACCCTTCAGTAAAAGTGGACCAGTGTATTTGACAGCAAGAAGAAATGTGTGCACTTCTTCTGACCTTTCCTTAGTGCAGGTTAGCAAGTGTGTTAGCTCTCTCTGCCTGCTGCAGCAGTACACAGATCTATTTATAAACACTCAGTTCAAATAGCAACCACTCTGTTCAGTAGCCAACACGATAAGAGAACAAACAAACCCATGTGTGGACAACGAGCAAGTGTGCTGATGCAATGAAGCATGAATGTGTTACAAGTTTGGAGCATGAGTTAAGGTTTTATTCATTTTAATATACAATGTGGAGTGGCCTGTTTAATGTACTAACAGTATTTCAACTAGACATAATATTCCAACTACTGCAATTCCCATCAGGGAAAAAGTTTGTCAGACACACAAACCAGCAACCAAATGCTACATACCCTACATACTCGCCAGACGCACTTCACAGAGGCCAAACTCCACCTTTGTTAACACACAAACCACTAGCTAAACCTGGGCACTGCCAGAATCTAAACATAAAGGCTGCCAGAAGCTGCCCCCTGGAGCCAATCAAAAAAAGGCAACAAAAAAAAAACAAAAAAAAAAAACAGGCAGGACAATAATATCATTATGAAACAATCTACCAAGGAAGCAGCATTATCCAGAAGAGAAGAAAATCAAGAAACAGCAGAAAGGTCGAGCGTTGACTGGAATGAACCTGCTCCCTTTGGCAGCCACAACACTAAAAAGGGAAAGCACCTTCCAGCAGGCAGAGTCGTTTACTGCCATGGATCTTGACTTAACCTTCCTACATGGAAAGACCTCCGTCAACCCCAAAGCATCTGATTCAAAGCAGCTACGCAGCAAAAACCTTTCATCCTTGTAAGGCAGTGCAAATCAAAGTAGTGTAGAATGACGTTTAACACTTTATTTGAGGCAGCGCTCATCATGCACGCTGTTGTTGGTTAATGGTGAACCTAATGATTTCTCTGACCAGTATTAAAATCTACTCCAATTATTGCCATTACATTTTTTTCCCCACACCTCCCAGCCTGATTCAGTTTGTTTACATAATACTGTGTATGAGTCTACAAGAGCTGAAATGATTAGTCAAAAAATCAGTAGCAGAAAAAATCAGCAGAAAAACAATCAACTATTTTGATAATCAACTTATCTCTTAAATGAGGTTTCAAGCTTAAAAGTGCCTCATATTTGCTGGTTCTAGCTTTTAAAAGTGAGGATTTGGTTCTTACTAGTGGTACGGGACAGTAAACGCAATACACTTTAAGTCTTGGATTACTTTTTGGACAAAACAAGAGCAACTTGAAATCAATAATTAAAAACAATCAGTAGTTGCAGCTCTAGTTACTACATATAATTGAATTTTCAGAACTATTAGGGTTAACTACACATGGGTATTTTTTATTAATCGCTCAACCCTAGTGCGTATAAGCATGCTCATTGCCGCTGTTCAGTAGACTACATAGAGTACAGTTTGTTCCTCCTTTTCCCTGCTTCCATCTGAGAACGGCTTTCATGAGGGCCCCTGGAGTTGGCAGCGGCTCGACTGCTGCTATCATCTTACAGACAGAGATGGTGGGGTGGGGGGGGGTGGGGGTGGAATATAGGGACAAGACACAAACACACAGAGCACGGCTGAAGGGGAGCAAGAAAAAGTAATGTGAACAGAAGGGGGGGGGGACGACATACGATAAAAAGGTAAGGAGGATGGAAGAGAGCTGGAATGTGAAAAAGTGGCAGAGGCAAAAGAGCCTGTCATTGAAGTTGATGTGACAGGAATGCAGCTGCAGTTTCTAACATGTATAAAAAGCAGACGAGGTCAACTTCCTGAAGTCAGTGGCACATGAGCCCTGTACAATGTGTACTCCGTTTAACAGACAGAGCAAGAAGCAAAGAAACTCAAGAGTGTGGAAGAGGCAAAGCGGCAAACATGCTAAAACCTAGAATAGTGGAAAAGGATCAATAGAATTAACCAATACAGTGTTTTGGCCCTGTTTTCTGCCTTACCTGTTACATAAACTAACCTGGAGAGTAGGAGTAAAACAGAGGTGGATCTAAACCAAGAAACATCTGAAAAGCCATGAATAGTTTTTGGGGTGTGCACATTTGGTCATCAAAGCCACTTGCCATTAATATATGTACATCTGTACAGACATTTGAAGCTAAAGGTTCTGAGTACTTGGGAAACTTTCAATACCGCTAAAGAGCAGAAGGGCTATTTCAAAAGGTTGTTTTGTGTTCAGAGGTAGCTCCATTAGCCTGATGTTGTTGTTTTAGATGATTTGTTCTATGTTTAGAAAGGGATACCAAACAATTACTGGAGACGCCATACATTCGCACTACAAGGTCAGCAAACAGATAAACAATACACTTTGCAATCTGCGCCCTGACTTGTATGCAGGGACCAACAACTGAACATTACTTTTAGCTAAAAAGGTACTTTCCACGTGTCCTGCTGTTGCTATGCAACTGCAAAATCTATTTGAAGCATGGTGCTTTGTTGCCAGAAGCTGACTTATTTCTCAATTTGCATACCAACACAGGCCGTCAGCAACAAACCAGAACCTTAAAAAAAACAACAAATAAAATCGTTGCACCAACAGGTAGGAAGGTATATATATATAAAAAAAGGCACACAGGTACGCAACATATCGATCTGGCTATAAAATTAGTCCCGGTATAAAATGGATTTCACCTTTCACATCACTTCAAGTGCAGAACAAGCACAAGTTCACTACACTTAATGTTAAATGCACACAAAATGTCTGACAAATGTTCCTTTGTAGAACTGTGTTTGAAACTGTGCTGCTGCTCTGACACACTGTCAAACACTTTATCCTCACTGACATGTTTAATTTATAGGGCTTGCATTGCATAGATTTAAAAATGTAATTGATTCAACTCAGTTTAATTGAACCCTTGTTGGGACAGCCCAGCCAAATGTATTCTAAACTAACCAGTAAAAGGTTAATACCCTGTTGTACACTCCTAAACACTCCAAATTCCTCTTGGCGTGTCTGAGCAAGGTGACATCAGCAAGAAACACATGCCAGTTGTCTGTCTCTCAAATATGCAAAAAACACTGATTACTCAACAGAGAAACAAGCGGGGACACCTGGCAGCAAAAGCAAGTCTACATATTTCCTGCTTCAACGTCCACCTGTTTCAGGTGATCAACATGAAGGATTGAAGAATATGAGGAAGTGTCAAGTAATTTATTTGAGTGCAGGAGTCACTGTGCTGTACGTGTCTGCATCCCTTTACACACAGTATGCAGTACATGAGATTGTGCGCAAGTGTATGCATGAGCAGATAAGCACACTTGTCAACACGACCCACCACAGTCACGTCGACTTCGGGAGTGGCTCAGAGGGGCACCCACACACACACACACACACCAAACTCAAACTATGGGCAATGTGCATAAAAGTCACAGGCTGCAGGTTTTGTTTATGACTCAATTGCAGGTTCGTCCATTGTTCAGTCATCATTTGACTTTACAGTCATTTGTCCACCCACACCCAGGTCAGCAGTAGTTGCCACCAGGCATGCTCAAGAACTTATCTGATCTATAAATTGTTTAAAATTAGTCAATAGGAGGGTTGGTTTGTCCCTTTCTAGTTGCTGGTTTGAGTGCAGCAGTGGGAGGATTTTACTAACTCTTCTGGGAGTTGAGTGTGCTTTGTTGTTTTATATTGCATCAATTCCTATCATTAATGGCCAGGTCCATGTCACTACACTACAGCACTGGGGGGTTGTGAAGCTATTTTAAGCTTACAGAATGCTGCCACTTTGGCAGGTAACAAGCCAGTGTTTGTTGTTCTATCTTCTCGAAAGGACTTGATGACAAGAGATATCAGCCAGTTTCAATCCTGCTGATGATTGCATTATCAGCAACTGTTTATATTTTCTGTTTATCACTTTTAAAACACATTTAAAAGGATGAAACTGCTGCTCAATGGTTTGAGTGCATCTCATGATATATACTCTGTACAAGTTATGCACATTTGTTCTCTATATTACTTTTTTTAAGCATAGTCCTAGTGTGTAAACTAACCATGTTTTTCAGTTCAATTCATGTGTCGGTTATTTTATGGTCTGAAAAATGCCCATCAGAAGTACTAAGAACCCAAAGTGAAGCCTTAAAAATGTTTGTTATGCCAGATGAACAGTCCAAAAATCAAATATTTTCATGGATGGAACTACAGATTTTGTGGCATTTTGCTTTAAAAATCATTGAAAATGTATAAGCTATTGCAATTGGTGCAGATAAATGCATTGTTGATCCACAAACCACTTGTTCGGTGCAGCTCTACCACTGTGTGTGATGAAAAACAGAAATGTGTCATATTCTTACTGAATTCAAGACCACAGATAGAAAGAGCTGCTGACAACTGAGGGCAAATCTGCCTATAGACTCTAGCTATAGTAAGACACTGAGTCATTCAGAAGTACAATGATTACACTTGTTACTGTACAACCATTATCTGGGTGTAAGAGCCTCCATGACGATGAACGGCTGTGCCAGTTCAGTTTTGGAACTACAGACACCAAGTTTGTTTGCGTGGAGACACATCGCAAAATACTAGAGACACAGCAGAAGAGTGAAAACAAAAGCGAGAGACAGAGACAGCAATTGAAACATAAAGACACACTCAAGGTCAGAGATAGAGGCTATCAGACTTCCCGCCTACACTAGCCATGACAGTAGTTTCAGCTGTAACAGTAGCCTGCTCGTATTATTAACAGGACTCAATGGAAACTGTAGCGGCAATTCAAATGGAAAACACTACTACGTCACATGGCAAAGAACACCAGCAGTGTCACAAGAGCAAAGCACATTGCACCACTGGGGACAAACAAACATGGATACAACCCAGACTATGCAGGGAAGAAAGCAATTTTGGAAAATAAGCTGAAATGGACAAGTAGTTTAAAATAGGCAATAGGAGTTGATGTCTTGAGTCAAGCAGTTTGTGGATTTTCTTCTGGGGGGTTAAGCACGCTTTGCAATGCCAATTTCTATCATGTGTTACCAGAATCCTGTCTCAACACAAAACTGCAGCATTGATGGTTGTGAACTAGTTTATGCTCAGTGGTCCTTCATTTAGTACATTCAGTTCATGATTCTGTTGATGTGCAATATTAATCCTACTGGGCCTATTGAACACTATGGACCTTAACGTTTTAGCGGAACATCGCTCATTATACATTAACAGCTCTGTGTAAGGTGAACAGATGTCAATGTCCTAGAAACAGCTGATGCTGATAAATCAGGAATCAGTACAAACAGTTAGCGCTGAGCAGTAGCGTGATCTTTTATCAACTCTCAGTGGAATCATCTTCTCTCACCTTTTGACCAGTTCTGTATCTTCTTGTCCTCCTTCCTGGTCACACTCTTCGTCTCTCTCTCTCTCTTCCATCCACTGTTCTTCCCTCTATGGGTATTGTCCCTGTGGATACCAGGAGGAAATACTTTTACTTTATTGTTATTGCATTTAGTGTTTTATGACACCATAACAAACTGAAATCTCTCTCTGAACAAGTTGAGGTGGAGCACAGAAACACTTAACAGGAAGTCCCATAAATGGAGACCCTGAGAACGCACATTTTAAATATTGTCCATATCACTTCATGATTTTCATCACAGAAACAAATACTGTTGTTCATCGTTTTCTACCCACTGTCTGCACATCTCATTTACAAGACAAAAATTTCAAGTGGAATCCATTTTAGACAACTCCACTAAATAATTGAAATTTATAAAATGACAAATTTCCAGAATCTCAAATGACAATTTTCTCAATTTTTGTAATGACTGTAAATTAAATATCTTTGGGATTTGGAGCTGTTGGACAGAGATAACAAGCAACTTGAAGATGTTAGCTTAGACGTTTTACAGACCAAACCATTAATAGATTAGTTTGTTAAATATTTAATTTAATCTATAATGAAACAAATCATTGGTTGCAGCCCTTCCATAATGCATCTACAGTGCAGTGCTTTGGTCACACTATGATTTTTTCTGAGGAGAGAGCAGTTATTCCATTTGTAATTAATCATTTTCACTACAATTGGCTGATTATAATTTTACTCTTCGGCTCCCAAAAAGAAAAAAGGTCTGCTTATTAATGTCCAATTGGTTTGTAATCAGACTTTGGCTTCTCCGTCAGCAAGTGTTGAGTTTAGCTGCACTGGGCCCTGTGGGTGTGCCATTTAGCCTACAGGAGAAAGCTGCAGGCTGCAGTCTAATCCAATAATGGGATTACAGCGCAGCACTTACCTTAGCTATAAACAGACAGACGTACACAGATTCAGAAACAACTCAGACAAATTTGGCACATTTCATTTGATTTTTTGCACAGTTTTAAATATTGACACGTTGTTAGTGTAACTGTCAGGCTTGCTTATGCTGTCTCACCCCCCCCCGCCGTCAATATTTGAAATCTACATAGTTGATTTCTCACCTCAAAACTTCTCAGAAGTGGATTCAGTTCTGAAATTACATACGAAAACTGTAAAATATAAAACTCTCTGTTGCTGGCCTCTGTCTGACGTGCGCAATGATGACGCAGTGAATAGAGCCAATTCTCTCTGACCAATCAGTAGTCTGCTGTGTTTTCACGTCACATTTTAGTATCGCCTCAGCTCACTTGGAACCTCGATGGAGGTGATACGAAAAAAAGTACCTGGAAGCAGGTGCAACTTTTCTACAATGGAAAACCAAACAAAAGGTGAGTCGAGCTGGTACTGGGCAGTGTGAAAGGGGCTTTAAACAGCTCTGAGCAGCAGTGAGCAGCTTTGATGAACATCTTTATTACATGCTGGAAGTTTGAGTTTTAGTAAAAATCTGAAGGTGACCAGAGAATAGCGTGTAACAGCAGTCTTACAAATAGATGAGTGGCATGCATTGCTGCTTGACACCAAAGTCAGAAATGTTCAGTTCCAAAACTAAGGACCTCATATTTCCCTAAACTATTCTGGTCAACCTGTTTAAATGGCAGATGAAATCAGCTGTTTGTTTATAAATTGGCACACAGTTTGTTCCTTTCTTTGCTACCACTTTCAGCCACCACCCTCCTCCCTCTGTTCACACACTGCCCCCTCTTCATCCTCCACTCCTTTCTAACCATTAAGTGTTTCGCCAGATGGTTCTGGGTTCAACAACAACAGCAAGGCATGGTGGGGGCCCTCCTGGAGTGCACATATACACACCATGGACAGCATCTGTTTATGAATGGACCGACAATTGCCCATCCCCCGACAGCTACAGCTGACAAGAAGGGGGTGGGGGGCCTTAACTCACCAAAAGCAAAAGAAGGTGCTAATGTAGAACAAGGCCGGCATAACAGGGGGAAGTAAAGAAGAGGACAACACAGTTGCAATTGCAAATGTTTTATAGTTTGTTTTTTGCTTTTCTAGTGCCAGGTGGAAAATACAGGAAACCTAATTCACTCCAAGACCCAACCCGGCATTTAAACATCAATTAATTCATAACAAAGCAAAATTGCACAAAGTGTAACTGTAAGACTTTTGTTGTAAGTGCTTTTCTTGTCCTGTCTTTTTTAAATTAAACAATTATGACAAAAAAAAAAAAATTTCACCTGAAATAGTTCTACAATTTTAGTGGTGCAACTAACCAACTTTCACTAATTAATCGGTCGATTAAGATTTTAGTCTATAAAACAAGAACAAAAATAAAAATAAAGAGAAAAGATGCCCAGGCGACATCTTTTATTTTGCTTGTTTTGTCAGACCAACAGAAAGATATATTCTATAATTTACAATGATAAAAGAAAACAATAAGTAATAAATCCTTTCACTTGAGACAAATGTTTGACATTATTGGCTGATCAGTGTCTTCACATTGAGCCACAGACCCAGCCATCCACGTGCTCAAAAGCGCTCCAGGAGCTCTTTCATGCCATCAGACTTCACAACGCGACAGCACCCGGTGCCTCCGCTGACTGAGACTCCACTTGCAGTTAAACTGTCACCACCACAAAACACAGCACATGTTCAATACAAACAGATACTCTGAGTGTATGACCGCATGTATATTTAAAAAAAAAACAAAACATATGCACACACACACACACCCCTAATTATTGTATATATTATTCCTCTTCATTTTTTTTTAAACTACACTTGCTTGTGCTGCTGTGTCAACTTCAATTTCCCCTACAGCGGATCAATACCTACATCTGAAGTTGTCTTGATTATTGGGACAGTTGGCAATTAAAACACTAAAAGTTTACATACTGAGTAGAGCACCTTATAATGTAGCTGTGTAGTGTTATGTTATCTACTGTTGAGCAAATACCTGCAGACTTTCCAGAGTTGTAAAATCCAGTCTCACAGTATTATAAAGCATCTTAGCATCTAACAAGACTCCAAACTCTCAAATTATTATTCAAAATGCTTTGTCCATTTTTTCACTGGTGCCTGTAAAAACTAGGGCTGAACGATTTTGGAAAATAATCTAATTTTGATTTTTTTAAAACAGATATGCGATTAGTTTTTAACAGACAAGCAATAAATCACTGTATAGTATGACCAACACAGTACTGGCTTTGATGAAACTAGGTAATGCATGAATAACCACCAATTGAGTCCTTATCTCAAATAAAAAAAATAAGAATTATTTTCTGGATCCCAGCAAACAAAAAATACTCAGTTTGAAGTTCAATACAAAAGTTGGCCAACGGGTCTAGTAGACATGATCTGTAGCTCTCTGACAATACAGAAGCGATGTTCACGCTTCCCCTGCAGACTGCTTTACTCTCGCATATCATGTGACCAGAGTGTAATCACAGCCTTTGCGATTAGAAAACCTCCTTTTATCATATATTATCGCAAATGCAATAAATCGTTCAGCCCTAGTAGACACCCCCACAACTACAATAGCTAACATCACAACATCAGCATAAGTTGGTGAACTAGAAAGTAAGCTGAATGTCCGTGGGAATGTTCTTTAACGTTACCTGACACACAAATCATGGTTGGACTAGTGTTGTGTGGCTCGGTCGGGGCCACTTTCATTTACAGAGCCAGGGCTGTGTACAAACCAGATTTTTATTTCAGCATACACAGACCGGACAGCTAGCGGACTGAAAAGATATTCACTGAATTTGACAAGAGGTGTATTGGCTTAGAATCGCATACCCCATTTTTAACTATCATCTTTAAAGCTCTGGCCTTAAGGTGAGATATGTGTCAGGGCAAAAGACACTGGTCAGGGTTTAAGAGGGTGGACTCACACAGAGACAATATTACATATCACACGTCTCATGAGGTCGCCATTTTTGGTATATACACTGTATTTTTGGCTGTATATGGGCCATGCTTCAAAACATGCAGTTTTCACAGGTGCTGACCATGTGCTTTCTGTTACTGTTTTATACTGAGTTTTGTACAAACGTGATAAATCAGGCCAGTAATATAACAATTTTCTTGAGTGTTGTGAATAAAATTAAAGTTGTGAACTAATAAGATGGATTTTATCAACACCAGGCAAATTGGAAACATGCCTCAAACAAGCAAGTCGGTTGATTTTCACAATAGATTAATCGCTTGAGTAACAATACCAAACATTTGCTGGTACCAGCCTGTAAAATGTTTCCTGCATTTCCTGCTTTTCTCTGTGCTATATAATAGTAAATTGAAAGTTTTGGGATATGGACCTTTTGGTGGGACAAAACAAGCAATCTGAATATGTAAATGTAATTTTTCAACATTTTATAGACGAATCGATTATTGGAGTAAACCATCAGCCTAATAAAATCGATACAAATTATTAGTTGCCCCCCTAAACTGCCATATACTGTCAAAAATGTACAAAATACACCCACCCAATTAAAAAACACCTGCAAAATACACTTTAAAACTACTTTTATCGTGGTGCCTTATTTCACAATACATCACAGATAGAAAAGGGCAGCCATTTTAACTGTAACATACAAATCACCAGACTGATGAAAAGGAATCGCTTTCTGAAAACACCTCATGTCTAAATATGGTCTTGGCTGAGTTTCTAGTGAATAATATAACAATCTGGACAGCTTATTCCACTATTCAGCATGTACCTTTTGGTTTTTCCATCTTAAGACAGGGGGAGTGCTGAGAGGGATAAGAGCAGCAGACAGATGAACAGACGATGAAAATAGTTGTGAAAGGTCACTGGTGCAGTTATGTACAACTCTAGCACAAGAGATTAGCGTCCATTCAGTACAGTAGATACACACTGCATTAGGCTACACAGAGATGAGCAAGACAATAGTTTCTTTGACTCACCCCTTTGTCCTGGTGAAAAAAAAAGTGAATTTCTCTGAACCTGCCTCATTCTTTAACTTTTTTTTTTTTTTAAAGCTATGTCTTCTCTGCCCATGCGAGATTCACTGTGTAGCACAGATTTGCTGCCACCCACTTGCCTTTTCTGTGAACCCTTTTCTAACTGCTGTCAAATAAAGCTAAGACTTTAAAAATAATAAAACTATATTTAGGTTTCCGAAGAGTTAGAGATCAGAAATCTGAGACTTTAGACTACTGCATCCTAAGACCCCGTAGGAGTGTTTCTCAGTCCCAAAAGTGAGTCATGCAGAGAAGACAGAATGGACTTTCAAATTTATAGGAGACAGGGTATTGATTGCTTTTGCAGGCTGGTGGAAGCTGCCGTTTTTCACACAAACACCGCCAGACATACACCCAAACATAAACTGATAACATAAGCATCCACAAAACACACACTCAGGAGAGTTCCTATGTCCCAGAAGAAAAGCCGGAGGGTAGTCGCATGGCTAATTTGCATGTACAACGCCACAGCATTTGCATCAATTTGCATTAGCATGTTCTCAGCGAGGAAACACTGGAGACTCCGTTCAGGAAAGCCATCACTCAATTAGTGAATGACAAGATATATCTCCTCATCACAAACAGCCCAACAGCAAAGGCTTTATGAGGCTGACATTGCGAGATGTAACATTTCCTGTCTAGCTGCATCAAACCTGTTGTTCAACAGCGCAGTCAAAATCAGAACGGTTCATTTCAGGTCATGGTAATGTAAGAAAGGCAACATGATATTTCTGACTGGATAAAAAGCTATTGAATTTTGCTGCTGGCAGGAGGAGGGAGGGGCAAGATGTGAATCAGTTATTTCATACCACAAGAAATGCCAATTCAAGGTTGTTTTTTGTTCCACAACTGAATACAAGAACAAGAGAAAGTATTGAATTGCAAGTCCATTTTACTTTGTTGTAAACTGTACACAGTTAAGACCTCTAACTATAATTAGCCAGTTTACAATGTAGAAAAATAGAATATTAAGTTTGATAAGCCGTTATGCCAAAATGTTTTCAGTAATATACAAGAGTCGTAAATTGATTTCCTTGCCACTGTTTGCAGAAGGTGGACATGTGGTATTAAGCAACCTGTGACTGCATGGAGTGTAGAAAAAAAGAGCCAACTCTAATTAATAGGGTTAGGCTGATTAACATGTCTGACAGTCATCAACCACTGAGCCTTCTGCCATCATTAACACTGATCTAAAAGCCCCCAAGAATGAAAACATATTTAGAGACTAGTAATTTGGGGAATGGAGTGAGACAACTAAAAGTGAAAGTAAGACGGCACATTGTTCTACAAAAAGAAAAACACATATCACAACTTATTTCACATTATTTATTCGTTGTGTTATGATTACAAATGCAACGGGCCCCCACAAGCAAAAAAGTGGATCAAGCTGGATGTGTGTCTACAAGCTGACTCATAGCAGAGTTCTGCATAATAATAACTAAAGAGCTTCAGAGCATGAGTGCTAAACACATTCAGTTGTTGCAGAGGGATGTCCCCCCCCCCCCCCACCCCCACTGATGCCACAAATCTTTTAAACGTATTAAATTCATGATACTGTGGTTAGCCTTTTATAGAAACATCCACCAAATGCTATTTGTAAACTTTAGGACAGGACAACTTCTTCAGTGCACATAAAAGTGAAACCACTTTCCAAAAGCTAAATAGAAATGACCTCAAGCAACACTATACTGCTCACAATGTTCTGTTTATGGAAATACAGTTTCTGTCTAATTGTATGTAATAAAATCTCTGCTATTTGAAAGCAAACAAATCCCAGAATTAAATTGGATTCATTAAAAGAAAAATTATGCCCATGACAAAAATCATTTGATTGTTGGTGTGGGAAACTCTGAGGCAATAAAACTGTAAATGTTTCATGTCAGAAATGTTACTATTTGGGTATAAATATAGCCCCCCCCCTGATGTTACTTCAGCTGCAGTCACTCCCACACATACAGCTGGAAACCATGACAAAATGCTAGGAAAATGTGAAACATAACCAACTGGCTTTAGCAACAAACCCTAAACAAACTAGCATAATAAAATACCATAGCCATTAGCGAAAATAATATTTAACCCCACAACACAACAGAAGATAAATAACAGAAACGGGACTAAACTAGTATTAAACATAAAGCAGCTGACATGTTTTATAGCTCTTGTTTGAAGAGCATCCCAAAACAGTGGCACTTTTGAAGATGAGGAGGTGGCACATTGACACACTGGCTCTCTGTAATTACACTCAAAAAAAAAAACCCCAATACAATTCAGGAAATTGAGCATGCTAACAAGATTCATCAACAGACTTAGGATCTAAGAACAGATTAAACGCAGCCCTTGGAACGGGTTGATGGACTAGTTGTAGTCCACAACTCTATTGTGTGCCTGCATGTGGACCAACTGCATGGAGACAATGTGCTGCACAAACACCTCTCAACACACAAAACATCAGGACTCTGGCTTCTCATTTAGCGATTTTAAAACAGCAAAGCTTACTCAGCACAATACAGCCTAGACCAACCTAGACCCTCCAATTCAATTCAAACGGAACTGCATGTGCTTGCATAAGCAGCAGCTGCCCATCCCCTGTCCCCCTGATCCCCCCCACACACCCCTTTAGAGGCCCACCACACAGACACACACAGGTCGTGTTATCATGTAAAGAAACATGTCTAGAAAGGTGATATAAATGGGTACACATGCTCTTAAAGTGAGCGCATGTGTGTATATTCATGGTGGCACACTCACCTGTTAAGATGCTTCAGCTTCTTTGGTGGCAACAGCTTCCAATTCCAAATCTCTTAAAGAGAAAAAGATAATGTTAATCTCTCACATATCAAAGCCTACATTTACCTAAACAAATAAAAGATACCCTGCATGTGGGTGTTACAGTTTTAGTGTGATGAAAACACCACCCTGTAAAAAGTGGGTTACACAAACAAACCTGAAATAGTAAACAACTCCTTTAAAATGTTTCACATTAATTATTGATGGTGCAAAGGGGTTAAAAGACATGCACCTCACCCACAAAACATATGCAACCACAAGCATACACAAATACAGATTTTATCATAAAAGTATTTTCTGTATGAAAGGTATGTCAATTGGTTGATGTGGAAATGCAGGTTGAACTGCATAACAGGACGATGGACGAGCAGGGCCCCATGAAGCAGAGGCCCTGCGAGGTTAACCGAAAAGGTGTGTCTCTGACAATGACAGAGAGAGAGACAGAGTGAGAGTGTGTGTAGGTCAGAGTTACAGCTCAGGTCCTGATCGGCCATTATCTCAGCTGTTGCCTGATTTACTGCTTAACCAACATGGCTCCTCTCGAGCCTGGTGTTTTTCACAGCGCGAGCCAAGACCAACAATGGCCTTAACGGGCATCTGATTAGAGAGTCCATGCAATTAAATTATTTTGTGGCTTAGCCGTGTTTGCAGCGTTATTGAGGCAGTGTAAAAAGTTAGGGTGAACACGAGTGCAATCCAGCATAGCGGAGGTCTAGTTCTAAGTTAACCGTCTGCTCAGTCTACTGCCGATAGAGGGCGTTAAACGCCCGGACCGAAAATCAACTCTGCAGGTTCACAATTTCACCATGAAATTTACATTGATATTACGTTTCATCACAGTTGTTTATGATGTTTAAGGTAATTTGAACTACCGTGTCCTCTCCGCGAGTCACCAAAAAGCCGAGCAATCAGTCTGCGTCACCGCCGAGCAACCTGCGTCGTCAAATTAGCATGACTGCTAATGCTAGCTAAAAGCTAACGTTACGAAGCGGTTAGCTCGTTAGTTAGGTAACTTACCGGGTTTTACTTCAAATGTAGCGATTGTGGTTTTTAATAAAAACAGTTAGACGTGGAATAATAAAATGATAGGTTATTGATAAACAAATCCATATAAACAATCTCTCGAAATACAGAATACTCACTTAGAGCAGATATTTACGCACTGCTTGCGAGCTAAGGTTAACCAATGCTCTTACTAGTTAGCACAAGGTTAACCTGCGTACAAATAGTGTTTTCCCGTCAATACACTTTGAAATGTTCAGTCATCTGCAGGCAAACAAAATCCCCTGGTTTGTCAGTCGATGCGTTTGCAAACTGCATTGCAACCGAGCCGCCATGCCAAGTGCGAGCTAAACGGGAGGCTAGCTGGCTATCTAGCTTAGCCTATTCACAGCTAACTAAACAACAGCGGCTGCTCAACATAGCTGCACCAGTCCCCGGTCTCCCTGCTCTGGGCTCTCTGTGTACATTAGCTCGACAAACGTCACCCGGTCAAGAAAACAATGTAAAAACAATCTCACCTCATTGAAGTATAAAGTGCAACAGAGTAGAAAGGAAAGCCGGCTGTAAGGCTAAAATAATTTCAACGCGTTTGCAGCATCTACGAGGGGAGGCATCCGTCCTGCATGATCGCCATTTTCTTAAATCGCTGTTGGCTAACCTTCTTTCGCTTGAGTTCTGCTTTCCCCTCCTCTCTCTGCATTCACCTCAGCTCTGGCTTGTGTGTGTTTCTGGAGGGGGGAGACAGAGCAGGAAACGCATTAACCACTTCCTCTGACTGAGAACCAAACACCAGCGAAAGGTACCTAAATGGTATCGAGAGGATAGTAAAAACATGTAAAGCATGTCAACCCTGTTCAAGGTAAGCTGCTTAGTCCCTTAAAATTAATAAACCCATCACAAATGGTACCATGGGTCAAATGCATCAGACTTAAACACACGAAGGCTTATTTTTATGTTAATATAAATAGACTTATATATATATATATATATAGACATAAGTATAGCATGGATAATTCGATGATGGCATACTTTGTATAGGTATATAATAGCTATATTATATAATAATATAACACAAATTAGAGATAGAGAAAAAATAAACAGCCTAACCATAATAACCAGACATCATCTCCCATTATTGATGTACAGGTACAGACAATGACACTATAGCCAGAATTTTGAAAACTAATGTCCCAAACGCACCCCTCACTCCCCTCATACTATTATGACCAGAAACAAAGAAGATTAAATTCTTGTCTTCTTATTATTTTGATATTTTATGTATTAACTGTTCAATTCTACTTTCCATACATTTTATCCCCTAACTTGAAGGTCTTCAAATCCTCCTCCACACTGCTATGAATACAATTCTGGAAACCTGTTTAGTTTTGTAAGTAGTCAGTTAAAATACTGAAATGAGCCCAAAAAAAAAATACGCACCATAGCTACATTTTTTATTATAAATCTATAGACCTCATCTAGTCGATATTCAACACATCTGAAAAGTCTTGGAAAGTCTAACTATACTGTAATTTCAGACATTGTTTTGGGAGAAATCAAGAATATAACTCAAGAATGTCATTGTAATGTTAAACCCACACATAGCAGTAAACTACAGTACATACTAACAAATTAAGTTTAATTTTATTGACCAGTAAACCCAGTGTTTGAAAACACAGAAAGTAACATTATTAAAATACCTGTCAGAATAGTGATGTACTAAACACGGAGCAATAGAGCTAGTGAAGTTGGACTACATCGTATGCATTTAATTTGAGGAACGCTTTCTAAAAAAAAAAAGCCTGTTGTTGGTCGGTGATGTTTTCTTGTTATGTAATGTGTGTATTCTAGGTTGTTTTTAATGAATCTTTTTCATTTTATTAGCACCCTGTAATATGTGTCAAGCAGCATAAACCTATTAATTGCACAGTAAAAAGTCACACAGTGAGTCATTGTGGAATCATGATGCCAAATAGCCTAAAATACACAGTAAAGTATGGTGATGTGGTATATTTCGACATAAATTCCAATTTCAAGGTTTCTACAGACTTTTAACCTATGTCCTGAAAAGTATCAGAATAAGAACATGATTAAGTAAAATTACTTTAAGGCAAAACGAAGATTTACCATTGGCAAATTGATTGATTCCAGACAATAGCATTTATAATTTATTCACTGGGAGTAGAGAAAGACAAATATTCTGTTAGAGGATCCAGAGTCAAACCCCAGGTCGACATCCACTCTGCTGTTGTGTCCCTGAGCAGAACAATGAACACTAGTGTCTGTCTGTAGGCGTTTCTGACCTCCCTGTGAATCAAGTGAAATAAGAGTGCCCTTGCCAGATATTTTATGAATTTCATTATTTAGCGTACCTGCTGTGCAATGCAAAAGGGCACTCTAATTGTGATTCACCTTACTTCATCTTCATCTTCCATAGAGAAATATTTTGAAAAACGTGCAATATTTGCATATAAAAATTAAACAATGGTCACAAGGTTTGGATGTTTACTGGGCTAAATCAGCTTTGATCACATGATGTCACCCACTCTAAGCTATATCCTTTTATAATGTTCTCTTCTTTAAGATTATTTAATTCCCACAATTTCCATTTTTCATGCACAATATTTAAAACGTAGACACATTTGTCCTCTACTCTCTTTGCAATGTGACTTAAAATTTTTGAATAAATGGCAGTGGTAATTGACCTTGCGTGTGGTTGTGCTCATCATCAAAGCACTAATGCAATGCTGCTGAACACCTAAGAGCAGAAAACCTGACAGCAGGCAGTTGTGAGGTACAAGAGAAAATGCAAATGCTTTTTTGTGTTCAGTGCACTTCCTAATGTATGTACAAAGTGAATGAAAGTAAAACTATAAGTCACACACATACATAGATGCTGGATCTCTTCACTGTTTTCACAAGCTTGTCTTAGCCACCCATGCATGGCCGGCTTTAGCTGTTGTGTAAAAAAAACAACAACCCTAAAACGAGTTTTCAAAAAGAGACTGAGACAGCAGAGAAACAAATACAGAGTGGAATCTGCCAACTGCAATGTTTCACTGATGAGACAAAGGCTGTTGCTGCTTACAGGAGAGACCGGCAATACATGTGTGCAAAGCAATGACCATTGACCCACTGATGGTAAAAACAACCCCATCCTTGTGCTCAAATTACCTCCCTTATCTGTGTGTATTTGACTGTGAGGGAGAGAGAGAGAGAGAGGTGTAGAGTTCACCTACTGCCAAGTAATGATTTTATTTGACAAGGTATCATAGACAGGGAGATTAGATTTTACAGTATATAAACAAGTGGCTAACATCTCAGCCCTGTTGCCAATACCCAAATTTGGGTTTCCCAATAGATTTCTAGAACTGATTATGTGTTTGTGACAACTGGTAATTCAGATACAGTTGGCCTCCAAATGGAAAATATTGAATCGATTGTCCCTCCAACGTGTGTGTCTAATATTTTCCACCTTCATGTGCTTGTTCAAATTTCCTATTTCCCTGCTTCATAAGTTATAATTGCAAGGGGAGACACACTGAGGATGTCAGAACTTGTTTTATCTATAGCTTGAGAAGCATTATTATTCGTTTGCAACAAACTTAATTAGACAGGAAAGATATCTGGAGAGTAAAACTCCTAAATGGGATTGTTCTTTCCTGTTCTTGCCTTTGTAGTGCATGTAGGAAAATGGTGTTTACACTCTTGTATGATAAAAGTGTCAATAAAACATTACACCTCAGAAACTTGAATCACAATTAATTTCAAAGCCCCCACTTGTAGTTACTGTACATGATAGAGGATATTGATGTGTGTGTCTTTAGTTGTCTTTCAATATTTTCCTCCCCATTTCGCTGCAGGATTTGCGCTTTATCATGTACAGTATTATCAAGGGTTCAAGGGTTCATTTAATGGTCATTTTACAACATAGGGTTGTATAATAACATTTATGTTGTCCCTTTATGTGCTTGGACTGTCCTTAGGGCTATGCACAGGCACTTTAGCAATATCACTGATACTTGGGAGATGGGTACCAATGATCTTCTGAGCAGTTTTAATCACCCGCTGCAGAGCCCTCCGGTTCTGGGCCGTGCACATACCATGCCACTTTGTGCTGTTTCCATTCAGGATGCTTTCTATTGCTCCTCTGTAAAAGTCGACAAGAACTTGGCACCGGAATTTTGTCTTCTTACGTTTCCATAAGAAATACAGCCATTTCTGAGCTTCCTTTACCAGCGTGAAGATGTGAGATGACCTTGTCAGGTTCTCTCATTCCCAGGAACCTGAAACTGTTCACCTGCTCCACCTCAGCACCACTGATGTAGTCAGGAGTGTCTTTTCCTCCTTTTTCCTTAAACCAACAGTCAGCTTCTTGGTTTTGCTGACATTGAGCTGTATCCATTCTTATACCATTAGTGCATTTTACTAACTTGACGTCTTCCCTCTCCTGTAGTTTTGGGCTTTTTGTCACTCTCCTTCTGTTGCTTAGGTGTTTCTGGCTCTGGAGCTGTTGAGTCTGAATCTGTGGTTGCAAGCCACCTTCTCACCCCATGTTCCTGCTCAACACCCGCTGCTACAATTATTATTATTAGTCCTGTTATAATTGTCATTATTTTTGCTGTCATTCTCAGTACTATTACTCATTGTCATTCAAATCTGTACTATTACCACCATTAATAGTGTTTTAGATCTCTATGTGGAACTTGTGTTGGGACAATGCCAACGATCGCCGTTCTTGTATGCTTAAGGATGCGTTGGCTACCTTGTGATTGACGTCATGTGTCGCTACCATGGCGACCTGATAGGTGTCGCAATGCATATCCCTCCCCAGCTCCACCATCTCGTTCAAATATGGTCACTTCTGGTTAAAAAAACAAAACAAGATGGCGACAGCCAAAATACCAAACTCGAGGCTTCCACAGACCAATGGGACGTCACTGTGGCTATGTCCACTTCTTTTAAACAGTCTGGGTTCCTAAGTAATAGGATCTTGCCTCGAACTAAAAGGCTTCAGCAAGTTCAGCTTGAAATCATGGCTTTTGGGGAACTTTAAACTTTTTTATTAATATTAATAGTGTGTTTATATATATTTTAGCATTAGCTGCTTGGCAGCTTTAAGTCTTTAGTAAGTTAGTGCATGCTAGATAGTGTGTTGTATTTTGATTTCTCAAGAAAATTCTGAAAAAACATTGAAATGCCTTATATCAATATATAACATCAAATCCTACAATCAACTGTAAGAAAAGGAAAGCATGCGACACAACAGTATTTACTGACAGAGTAGCAGACAGTTTGGGGCACTTTTTTCACACATACATGCAAACAAATCCAAGTAATAATGTGTTTTGATAGAAGATACAGAGTTATAGTTAAGCTAATAATGGTGTTTGTGCCAAATGAAACAGAATGTCAAAACTTCTCTCTCTTACAGGTTGCTGCAGTTTTCACCTTCAGTAATGCCTCCCTTCTTCATGCACTTTTTCCAGTAGGTGAAGTTGTGCCAGATCCCCAACTCAAAGTTAGGTAAAGTAAAAACTTAAGTCAACTACAATATATAAAAGACCTGGCAGTTTGTCTAGCTTGTTGAATGAGTGTCCATTCATGCATTACAATATACAGAGGCAAACTAGCATTACATTAAGCTGGTAGACCGTAA